TAAATTCATCATAGAGTGTCAAGCCCCTCCGACGTCCTTGACATCCCAAATGAACCTTCCTACTAGCCTGAGATGTAACCTCCACAAAAACCAATTAGAAGATACAAAAGGTGTTAGTCATGGTTACAACAGTAAGATAAGGAATCACCCTTGGATTCAGAGGAGGTAACCAGCGACAGTACGGGCATCTTAGTTGAGTGAAAACAGAGAATCATTCCAGAATACGCTAATGGTTTTTAGCTCACCTGGCCCGAAGTGCCAAGTGAGGTTATATTGTGGCGCGGCGCATGTCCTGCGTCCGGCGTCAATAAATTGCTTTCAACAACCTCTTCTCAATAACCAAAAGGCCTAGGGTTAAGATATTTGGCCAGAAGTAAACTGGGATGAAGGGCTACAAAGTTTGTTAAAATAAATGATCTTCACCTATTTTCAAGGTCACAAGGTGTCAATTGACTTAAAAACCCTTTAAACAACTTCTTCTGAATAACCAAAATGCCCAGGGTGATGATATATGGCCAGTAGCATGCTTAGATGAAGGGCTACAAAGTTTGTTCAAATGAGTGACCTTCACCCATATTCAAGGTCACAGGGGTCAAATATGTTAAAACTTTAAAAACTTTTTCTGAATAACCAAAAGGCCTTGTATGATGATATTTGGCCAGTTACATGCTGGGATGAAGTGCCACCAAGTTTGTTAAAACAAATGACCTTCACCAATTTTCAAGGTCACAGGGGTCAAATATGTTTAAAACCTTTAAACGACTTCTTCTGAATTACCAAGAGTCCTAGGGTTATGATATTTTGCCAGTTAGATGCTTGGATAAAGGGCTACAAAATATGTTCAAATGAATGAACTTTGCTAATATTTAAGGTCACAGGGGTCAAATATGTTAAAATCTTTGAATAACAGAGGCATAGGGTGATGATATTTGGCCTGTAGCATGCAGGGATGAAGCGCTACAAAGTTTGTTAAAATGAATGACCTTGACAATTATTCAAGGTCACAATGGTCAAATATGTTTAAAATGTTTAAACAACATCTTTTCAATAACCAAAAGTCTTAGGATGATGCTGTTTGCCCAGTAGCATGAAGGACTGCCAAGTTTGTTCAAACGAATGTCCTTGACATATATTAAAGGTCACGGGGTCAAATATGTTTAAAACCTTTAAACAACTTCTCAATAAGCAAAAGGCTAAGGGTGATGATATTTGGCTATTAACATGCTGGGATTAAGGACTACCAGTTTTTTTCAAATGAATGACCTTCGTCCATATTCAATGTCACAGTGGTCAATATATGTTTAATCTTTAAATGACTTGCTCTGTGTATAACCAAAAGGTCCAGGGTAATGATATTTTGCTATATCTATCTATATATATATATATGTTAAAATCATATCGATTTGGATAAATTATCTCTTTTCCTGAATTACCATTTTGTGAATATCTGTCATCGATCATTTTAACGACTACCTCTCTGGACAGAAGTTCATGGTATATACTGACAACAATCGACTCGCCAATGTTTTGACTTCTGCAAAACTGGATGCTACTTGCCATAGATGGGTGTCGGCATTGACTGCCTTTGACTTCGAGATTTGGTATAGGCCCGTAAAATCCAACATTGATGCAGATGTTTTATCAAGACTTCCAGTATCCACTGAAGATGACGAAGAACATAACCCCCTTAAGCATGTTACTGTAGAAGCCATCCATGCTGTTCGTCAGACTGTCTCGTCTCGGCGATATGTACAGAGTCTATGTCTGTCATCCGCAGTCTTAGATGACCTGTTTGACCCTGGAGTGAGTCAGCTAGAAGATATGACCCCTAGGGATTGGCGGCAGGCACAGCGCAATGATCCAGTATTGTGGCCATGGATGGATATCATCACCAACCATAGACAACCGAGACGTATACAACTACCTATGACCAGGGAACACATGCAGCTGTTCAAGGTGTCTGGGAGTTTGACGATGCGGCGTGGAGTACTGTTTAGGAAGATAATTACAGATAGTAATTCCAAGTTCCAAATTGTATTACCTTCATTTTTCATTGAAAAGGCTCTCGGAGGACTACACGATGATGTTGGACACCCTGGACGTGACAGATTTCTTTCACTCCTGCAGGATAGGTTTTATTGGCCATGCATGACAAGAGATGCTGAGGAGTGATTGAAGAAGTGTCAGCGTTGCATCAGGGCAAAGTCATCAACCAATGTGCGAGCACCAGTAGTGAGCATAGAGACATCCCATCCATTGGAGCTCGTCTGCATTGACTATCTCACTCTAATCCAGAGGTGGATACCAGCATGTCCTAGTGTTCACAGATCATTTCACGAGATACGCCCAAGCCATTCCAACATGCAACCAGACAGCCAAAACAACAGCCGAAGCTCTATTAAACAACTTCTTTGTTCACTAAGGCATTCCAAAAAGACTTCATGTGGACCAGGGTGTCAACTTTGAAAGCAAACTTATATCTGAGCTCTGTCAGCTAACAGGGATGACTAAGTCGAGGACTACTCCTTACCACCCTATTGGTAATGGCATGACGGAACGATTCAACCGCACTCTTATTAGCATGCTAAAGACTCTGAAACCTGACAAGAAGACGGATTGGAAGAGCTACGTGGCACCACTAGTTCACGCTTATAACTGTACCAGACATGAGTCGACCAACACATCACCATTTTTCCTCATGTTTGGTAGGGAGCCACGTTTGCCTCTGGACATCTCCTTTGGTATAGGGTAGCTGATTGATGAGCCTCAGTCTCTCACGGACTATGCGAAGTCAATAATAGTCAATAAATGGATACTTTAGGAACGCATATTCAGGTAAGTTTTTTCATTAATTCCATTATTCATTGCAATTTTGCGCCACTAGAATTCTGCATTCAAATGCTACTTTTCAGACAAAGTCAACAATATTTTCAACAAACAATTTCTGCAAAGGTCATAATTGACATTTTTCCTGACATGGGTATACCAACCAACTTCCACATTTCTATCATTTTGAGGAAAAGTTATGAGCCAATCTCTTCCTATATACACTGACATGAGCCTGTATGAAATACCTTAACATTGGTCGCCCCAGTCGCTCATAGTCAAATGTGTCGAAGATGTTTACAAATGATCCGCTGTCTAATAATAGATTTGTGTCGCGATTCTGAAATTTAACATTAACATAAGGTCCATTGTTCATCTTCTTAGAAAAGATATTTTGAATTTCTTGCACTCCGTAACAGTATTCATCTTCACTTTCATCGCGGGACGTTTCAACATCGACAGCTTTAACGCGTCTCTTTGTACACTTATTCAGACACATCCTGCTAAAATGACCTTGGCCTTCATAACATTGTTTACCCTTGGCCGGGCAAGGACCAATTTTGTGTGGGAATGTACCACCAGAGTTCCTACATTGTGTTGACTGGGCTTGTTTTTTATAAAGTCCATATTGGGATGAGTTTGTCTTCGGGTCAGGTTTTTTTTTCGATTTTCTCGGAGCTAGTTGGTATATCTTTGCCTATATAATATGTTTGAGTGGGGTTTCTTTTGGTTATTTCCGTTTTTGGTACTCACTGCGTTAACTGTTTGTTGTCTCTCCATCGTCAACGCCTGTGTTTCAGCGAGCTCCATGGCCCTTCCATATTTTAGGATGTCGTCTAGCGTTTTGTCCGGCTCTCTAAGTGCACGTCGCCTTACCTGGTTTGATCTACAGCTCTGTATCACCTGTATAAAGATTTCTTCGTCTACGTTTGTAAACTCAGTCTTTCGACAACCTTTAAAGATCTGTAACAAATTCGTCCAAAGATTGCCCTTCTTTCTGTGCGCACGAGCGGAAGTTGTAAACTTCAATTTGTGTGTTTTTTCTCGGTTTAAAATATGTCGATAATACCTGTTTCGTAGCAACATATCATAGGTGTTTGAAATTCTGACTGTGAATTGAGATAGAAATCATATAAAAAAAATAAGGGTATTACTATATAAAAAAAGAACAGGTATGCAACGCCTCCAATGTCAACTATGACAAAAGTCGCTGAAATCGGAGAAAATATACGATTTACACGCTGTTTAAGCTTATAATACATACAATTAAAAAACAACCATCCTCTCACATGAGTTCTTTAAATATATTTCTATATTTGGTATCACGAAAGCATTTTAAAATGCTGGTTTTGTTTAATGTTTTTATACGCCCCGTCAAAGACGGGGACGTATTATGTTATCACGTGAGCGGGTGGGCGGGCAAACGATGTCCGCTCGATATCTCGAGTAATTATTAACGGATTAACATCAAACTTCACAACAAGGTTAATTACCATGAAACCTCGGAAAAGTTTGATAACCGCCATTATCCGACCATAATTTGTGGAGTTATGCCCCTTTATGGACTTGCCGAAACAGTGTCGGCTCGATATCTCGAGTAATTATTAACGGATTAACTTCAAACTTCACAACAAGGTTAATTACCATGAAACCACGGACAAGTTTGATAACCGCCATTATCCGACCGTAATTACTGGAGTTATTACCCTTGGTTTCATTAATGCGATGCATGCGTTCCATGATGTTGTATTGCACTCATTGATCTACCAGTTATGTTGAATGATTTCTCTTTTAATATCAATTACTCACAAATACTTCATATATTTCAATCATACAAACAACTGCTCATTCAATGTGTGACGGGCGTATTATATACCGCTCGCGGTAACCTTGTTTATGTTTACAACACGGTTGAAACTCAGGGGTTGACAACTCCATTAGTTATATACTGTCTTCAACTGGTAAATTGCGGGAAATTCAAATTTTAATATCGTCGACAACATGATTTCGAAACATCTTGATGCCACTGCATGGTATGTTGTTATGTATTGTGTTGAAATGTCTTAAAAGCCTTTTTACCACTATTAATAAGATCTTGCTTTAGATATATCCTTTCAAAGTCACAAATGTAGTGTCACTGGTGATCAAAATTTCTTCAATATTCGAATAGTTTTTTATGTCGCCTTTCCCTTCCCCCGTCCTTTTCCTTTGCCTTTTCCTTTGCCTTTCTTGCTGCAATTATGGCAGTACCATTTGGCATTGTCCTTTTTCAAGAATGCTTCATTTCCTTTAAGATTCACACACTTGTAATGGAACCAGCAATTGCATGTGTCACATGCAATGCTCTCATCTCCAATACTGTCCGTTTCCCATTCACAGTTACTATTACAAACACAGCAAATGTCCACATCTTCAACTGTTTCTTTTGTAATTTTTGGCTTCTTTCCCTGTTTTTCTCCCGAAGCAGTTACTTTTGCACGCAGTGCCTGTTTCTTTTTTCTTGGGACAGTTGTTTTAACAAATTTAAGGGATTGTGAAATTGAAATCTTGAGAAAGTGTTCTGTTACATCTTTGTACAAATCCATGACAAGTGTTAACAAAACTTCATCCTCAATTTCATTATCATCAATGGAGCCAAATAAGTCAATCCATTTTTCGAGAAGTATACCGTTTTCGTCAACTGCAGATCTGCACATCATGTGGATGTTGTGATAGTGTAAATGGAAATGTTCATTTGTCAGCTGTGCCTGAACAACCTCATTTAACACTAAGAAAAATCCAAAAACCTCTTCGTTGACAATATGTAGTCCCCTGGAAGTTCCTTGCTTGAAGTCAATTTCCATCATACTCTCTTCAGTGTCTTGAATTTGGTCTTCACTGATACGGAATTGTTTCAACATAATCTGCTTCTTGTAGTCAAGCCGTCGCACCATTTTGCTCTGTTTGCTACTCTGACTTAACTTTCTGGAAACTGATTCTTGCAATCGTTTCGCGATTTTGTGGACACATGCACCAGCTATGTATCTGATTTTGGCCTTGATGTTCAATTTTTTCTTCTTGTTCTTCCATAACTTTCTGAGATCTGGATTCAACAGTTTTGTCCATTAACCAAAAGGCCAATTTTGTCGAAGACTTGTTCTGCTGCTTTGACAACGTCTCCACTCTGAAGAGGTTTTTCACTTTAGTGATGTGTATGTCACTGATTAAAAACTTGTTCAGTTTTTCATAAGCTGTAGTCCAGTTTTGTGAAGTCTTCAGTTGTCCTTTCGTGATGCTTTCAACAACTGAGTACATAAATTGTAGGTGTGTCTCTAAGTCGTTGGGTTCTAATGACGACAGGAGAGATGTGAAGTTGGAGAAGTCACTGTCACTCAGAAACTCTTGCAAAGACCATGGAGAATCAACAATTTGAATGTCTGAAAATTCAGCTTCATCTGGTGTCAAAAATGTTGATTCATTGTCTGTCGCTTGAGATGAGCCTTGCTGAGGTTCCTGGTAGTGTTGTGACACATTTTCAACTGTAGTAAGGTTGCTTTACAGCAAGACAGGTCATCCTTTGGATCTTGAAAAGGTGTAATATAAAAATCATAAACACATTCTGGGTGTTTCAACATAGCTGCACGACTGTTAAAGTTCCTTATAGATAATCCTGCCTTACTCTCAGCTCTGCCTATGGCCACTCCCATTTGTCCTGGTGCAAAGAATGCAAAGCAATCGACCTCAACATTCCTGATGGTCTGTCCCTGAGCCCTATGCACTGTCAAGGCAAATGCAAGTGTGAGTGGTATCTGCGATCTCGATGCTAATGTTTTTTGTTGCTGAGTATCATATGTTGCAAACTTAACAACTGACATTGTCACAAGTCTACCACTAAAATTTACAACAGGCAGCTGTCCCTTGGAGAGTTTGTGAACATTTCCTCGCATTCCATTGTACAGTCCATTTCCAATGTTTTTTATGAGGATAACTGGTGCTCCCTGTTTCAAAATCAATGTTTTTGGCATTTCCTCGTAACAACTTCAAGATACCTGCAAGTAAAATAATACTTTTCTTAAACCACAATCAAATACATGGTTAATTGATACAGGCCGCTTTGGCCCCTTGTTATATACATAAAATGTTATGTTATTGAATATATTAATGATTTTCTTCTACATTTTTCACCAGAATTGATCATATTGCATAAGAAATTAATCTATAAATCTTTCTCATACAATAATGTATATATACTATCATTTGCATAAAATGTACTGTTCAAAATCATATAAAGAAAACCAGAATTGTAAGCCAATGGATACCCCCACTCTACTATTGATGTTAATGTCTCAGGCAATCGGTGCCATTCAGTGGCCATAGCCGCCAACATGAATCCTGACATTTACAAGCTTAAGTCTGTCTTTTATATAAAATACATATCACCAAGTATCACTCCCACAAAATATCAACAAAATTATAACTCAAGTTATTACTGTTATTTTCCCAGCCAATCAGAGGCCATGCATGGTGGCCATCTTGAATCCTAAAATAAACAGTTGGCCATTTGATGTACCAGTAAGTGATCAAGTGCGACCTTGACTGATGACCATCTAAAGGTTACAACTGTATGGTGTAATTCAATATACAGCACATAGTCTCACACAAAATTGAAATGTACAAACATTCATCTTGGGCCTTGTACACCTGTGATTCTCCTTCCATCTGATCTAGCATCTCGTGATTGACATAGCTAGCATCAAAATTGGTTCCATATAGTCGAATCACTTCGTCACCTTCATTTATGTTTTGTATTTGCCTGTCAAGAGTTTTCATCAACTGTAATGTCTGCTGCGAAGGTGCTCCATTACACAGCTCGTTCACTGCTGCTATTAAATCATCCTCGTGTTGTCGCATAACCTAAGTAAAAAAGGTAAATGAACATTTATTTTCATTTCATACAGGGACATTACTCATTCTCTAAACATATTTGCTCTTTGGAAATTTCACTAAAATTATATATATTATAATTTGCATTTCCATATTGACACCAAAATCAGGAACGAATTCTCCCTTTCATGTAGGCCACTACTCTGCCACAAATATCCACATACAACATGAATACAAAATTTGAAATCTCTGAGTCTCCCTTCATGGATGAATGAACACATTTGCAAATGTAGGAAAGTCAAGGGTGGACCAGACAAACATGTACTTATAGATTTATGCCCATGTCTATCAAAGCAAGAGTAGAACTATATATAATAATATATAAATATAACTTACTTTGGTTAAGTTCACATGGTGAGGAAATGTCTTGGCAAATATGTGGCTTTCAAAGCAGTACTTTCCATCATCCTAAAGTCTGTAATTTGGAACTGGTGGCAGCTGCTTAAAGTCTCCAGATGCAATCAACTTTAAAAAAAGATAAATATTACATATAAGAATGTAATCAACGGTTGAATTTTTACTATTAATATTATACATTTGTAAGTGTGCATTATATTTCTAATACATGAGGCCCAATGGGCCTGCATCGCTCACCTGGTATTAATCTCACACTTGTAATCTTAAAAGTGGACTAAAATACAGCTACAGGCAGAATATCAGTGTTTGATTCAAAAGAACCTATTTAAAGATTTAAACATGAAGCCTGAGTCCTTGAATGTCGAACAAGGACATTAGGTTGAAAGTGGGTCAAGGTCATTCATTTGAACAAACTTGGTAGCCCTTCATCCCAGCATGTTACTGGCCAAATATCATCATCATAGGCCTTTTGGTTATTGAGCAGAAGTTGTTTAAAGTAAAATATTGACGCCGGGCGACGGACGCCGCACCATGGCATAAGCTCACTTGGCCCTTCGGGCCAGGTGAGCTAAAAAAGTATTCAGGGCAAGATACAGCAAATTACGTAGTTATGTGGCTTCCACATTTAAGTGTTATAATGTCTGTCTAGTCTGTCTGTTATATCAACCTGTCTGTCTAGTCTGTCTTTATGTTCTATATACCTGTCTGTCCTTCTTTATGTATACTATATCTACTTTTCTGTCCTTCAGTCTGTGATTTGTCTATATTTTGTACTAATCAAAATAATTACCTGAATACCACCAAAAACATGATCTGTCTGTTTCACATGTCGGCACACAAACTCGACCATCTGGAACACTTTCGCTGACAGCATACTAATCTCATCTATGATCAAAACCTCTGTGGCGAGTATTCTCCCTTTGGCATCAGCATATCTGTCATCATTGTCAAAAAGTTCTTGTGACGTTTCATGGCTGTATCTCCCATCCATAATTCCAGACCAGTGATGGAGTGTTGTTGCATTTGCACCTAACTGGAAGCCGGCCATCCCAGTTGTAGCAGTCAGAGCAACCTTCTTGTCAAAAAGCTGGTCTTTAATGATTCTCCTGGAAAAAATATATATATATACATACACAAAAATTATGAATATTTGTTCAATAGCATGACCGCTCTTGAAAAAAGAAACAGGAATTTCACTGTGAACATATCTAACAATAACATATGAATGTAGATTATAACATTTTTCTTATTTCAATACAGAAATATAACCAGAATATGTAACTTCAGTTATTATGTACTTTTTGTCTTTCGTTGCAGGTTGGCTATCAACTTTGAACACAGAGAAGACAGCTATGTGAAGTTCAAAACAATATTGGACAGATGTGTGGAGTTCTATACCAGTATAGATATGAATGCATGCACACCATCTAAGGAGTGTTTATCGAAAATTATCCCAAGAGTATTCTCGGTGTCACCCTCCTTCAAATATGAGAAAGGTGTAAGACAAGTTGTGTTTAAAAATATTAAACGCCAAACGAGCAGCAGCAGCAAAGCATTAATAATACCCAAGATTTGCACATATTCCTTAAACGAACAAAAGGAATTTGAACTAAAATGTCCACTTACATCTATTGTTAATGGTGAGCAGATGTATTGTACCGTGTCATTTGGGAGGGAAACAACTACTTTAACAGTTAGAGACAAGACATTCAACTGTGGTTTCTCTATGGACATGAATCAAAAATATATAGATGGTGTTCATCTCATTCACTCTATGAAATTTTGCCAAGGTATACATATTGACAGTGAATTTGCCAGTTCTGCATTTGTAAGAGAATCGCTGTCTTGTATCCAAGATGAAAGTAGTGTAAAGGTGATACAGCGATCAGTCTTGCAAGATTATCCTTCCATGGAATTATTTAAGCAATATGTGTTGTGAAAGGTGTAAAAATTCAAGTAGAGTAGCAATAAGTAGAAAGAGAAAGTCCACTGACAATAAGGAAAATTGTGTTAAAAAAAAAACATGTGACAATGCTAATGATACAACTGATTCAATATTAACACCACAAAACAACTGTCAACTAGTGATACAAATAAACAATTGAAAGAGTCGACTGTCATACAACTTTCACATGACGATCATGAAGACATGGAACAAATTTTAGAAAAGGTGACGGGTACAATGGCGGCACCAGATCATCTAAAATTGCTACTACAATCTCAACTACAAAATTGTAAGAAAGGAATTGACGCACATCTAAGACGATGGGATCCTGAAATTATAAGTGTTTGTCTGGGATTATTTTTAAGATCACCACAAGCTTATGCAGATTTGAAAAAATCTGGGTTTTTGGTTCTCCCGTCGAAGCGTTTATTGCAATATTACAAAAATTCTGTCAAGCAATCTCCAGGATTTAACAATGACACTGGATGAAACAAGAGGCAAAAAGGCAAATCATTTCAGACTTTGGAAAACATGGTGGCATTGTAATAGATGAAATGTCGATTCAGGACGATCTTGTGATTTCAAAATGTGGTGATGTTTGGAATCTTGTGGGTATGGTTGATATGGGTAAAACTAACAACAACATTGATATTATATGCAACAATGAAAAGAAAGTTCGACTAGCTACTCATGCTTTACAATTTGTGTTCCATGGTCTAACTGGGTTCAGATGGCCAGTAGTTTACTTTGGGTCTGATCCTGCAACAACGCACCAGCTATATACAATCTTCTGGAAATGTGTTGATGAATTGGATGATCGAGGGTTTACAGTGGACTATGTTATGACCGATGGTGCTTCTACCAACAGATCATTCACCAATATGTTATTCTGTGGACCTCCACGTGCTTCTTCATATCTTTTTGTGATGTGTTTTATAGAGAACACCAGATTGCTTCAATACAAGACATCATGCATGTATTCAAAAAAATCAGAAATAATGTAGAATCCAGCAAATTGGACAATAAAACAAAATCTGGACGTTACCTGGTTTTAAACGATAGATGTATTCTGTGGGAACACTGGATTGAATGTTTTAACTATAACTTTCAAAATGGCTTTGCAACTCATCCTAGCCTAACAGATGAGCATGTCAACCTAACCCCTGCCTGAAAAATGAGAAATAAGCTGGCGATGGATGTGCTTAACAAAAACATGCTTTATCTGATGAAGCAATATCAGGCAACTTTGGGAGATCCAGAAAGACTTGCTTCATCTGTTGAACTACTTGAGCACACTTCTGTGCTTATCAATATATTTTGTGATCAAAACCGGCCACTTTCCAGCATATCTGATGAAAGGATAAAAAACATTCAGCAGGCAGTAGATTTCTTCAACACTTGGAAATCGAATATAAACGAATCGGTAGTACATCTTGCCAAGAAAAACCTCATAACATGGGAGACAAGGGAAGACACAAATTCCTCACTCACTGGATTCATTTCACTTTGTAAACGGATGCTAGGAAAGGGGAACACCATCAACCCTGGATACATAAACTCAGACCCTGTTGAGAACCTGTTTGGCCAACAAAGGGGTCTAAGAAATGGGTTAAATACAAATCCAACACTAGCACAGTATGGGCCTTCCAATACAGCGATTATTCTTGGACAATGTAGCGTTTCAAGCAAGGCCAACTCAGGGAAAACTGCCTCATATTTTTCTGCAACAACACCATGTCCGTTAAATCCAGCTAGAAATAAGGATGCAAGAAAAAAGAGAATGTCTATTAGGATTTAATAGGCATGGTGTCGTTGCAGAAATGTTAACATTTGCCCCTGATTTGGTCGTGTTGACAGAAAACGTGACTTATTTTATTCCTTTATTGCAATAAGATTATTAAATATAGTGCTTACTTCAAAAGATGCGTTTTTCCAGTACCGCATTGTCCTGTAACAATGATACTGTGTCCTCCTCTTCTCAAAGTCACCACCTCGTCATGTGCTCGCGCCATTATTGTTTATATTTTGTGATTCCGGCCGGACTCCGGATCCGTTTTTACATATTACCTGACTATTCACCCCGGACCTGCAAAAAAGATGGCCGACACTTTTCCGTCATGGTGCTCGTGACAGGCGATCTCCGGCAGTTTTTAGCTGAAAGGGAACTGGTTAAAAGCGGTGAGTGATACTTTATGGTTAGCGAGGGTCAAGTAATGTTCGCGGCATCGGTAGATAACAATAGATAGCGTGTAAATCGTATATTTTCTCCGATTTCAGCGACTTTTGTGATTGTTGACATTGGAGGCGTTGCATACCTGTTCTTTTTTTATATATGGTAATACCCTTATTTTTTTATATGATTTTTATCTCAATTCACAGTCAGAATTTCAAACACCTATGAACATATGTAGTTTCAGTTTCTCCTTTTTGAGCTTCATATATGTCATATGCTTTATCTCAGACGTAGTGGAGGAGTAGGGCTCTCCGACGAGTGTCATCGTCTAGCTCCATTGCTACGAAGAGGTTTTCAAGTCTGTTAAGACATCTCTCTCATCTGGTGCCGGCACTCGACTTGTCGACGCCCGAATCAAATGGTGGAAACGCTGGGAGTTTATCCATGGTTTTCCTCGTCGCCAAATGGTGTAACGTTTCTGATGATAGCCGATATATTTCAAAGTAGATTCATAGATGGCGAACACACAACTCCGGACACCATGCTGGTTATTTTATTTCTCACTTTATTAGTGTAGCCGGGTATCAAATTGACCACCAAATCGTTATTTGTCGTGAATAATTCTTTATTCGACATAGCTTAAAACACCTACACTCTGTAACAAACACAAATTAAAAGACTACAATTACTCAGAGCGTATACACATTACACATATAAGTTATAAGAAAGGGAGGTTACTCGTAGATATCACTAGTTACATTTAACACGAGTATAAACTATAAATGGACACATTTAATTACATTTGACTAAGATATCAACTTCGTAAGAATTATTATTACAATCATGCTATTTAAATTATATTAAATAGCGAACATAACATATAACATTAAACTGATTTTTCAGAGCGAAAGATCTACTTTCCTATAAATTACTTGTAAAGATCTAAATCATAATGCACATAGATAAACTTTTCCCATAAATAAGCATAAAAGAGGTAATCGCCTGTGTATGGTACAGAGCCGTTTCAACTTCATACAATACTAATCACCGGTGATCCATGCTTTCTTCCTTTTGCTTACGTGATAACATCTAAAATGCATAAAAGCCTTTCTTACTCATAATAATCTGGATATAAACATACAGAAGATTATGGAATAATTTAACCATTACTCATTTATATTTAAATTGAAGAAAATACAAAATACTACTTTGCACAATGTAAAGTTACAACTCACAATGGAGATTTTGAATAGAGAATAATTTAATTTTAAATGCCAAACTAATAAAGTTTACAGCTAATCCATACTATACAAGATAGCTAAATACAATAGATTGAAATCATACATAAAACAGAACTTACCTACAAATTCTCTGTCTGTCTTACAGTCCCTTTGTCATAAAATGTCTTGATCAAAAATAGGTCTTTTCAGTTTGGCAGGCAAGAGAGTACTGGTTTTCCTTACAAAGAGATTCCCGCCAAACTGACCAAAGGGTATTATCATAGTTTGACCAATAGAAATCTGCACAGCTATCACATGTACGCCATGTGATATATAAAAATAACTATACAGGTAAGGTGATATATAAAAATAGAAATACAGGTAAGTTATCAAATAATCACTCCCTGTAACCTATAACACACACATATCTCTTTTACACACTCTAAACAATTTGGGCACAAACAAATAGACATGTATACATACAAATTATATAATACAGGATAGTGATCACCCTATTACATCAGTAAAGAGTTACTTCCGGTGTTCCGGTCGGGTACATACTAAAGTACTGATTATATAAAATGGACATTACAGGCCTGTATTCAGCGCCGTTGTTATTCCTGACCTCAACAACAAAATAACTTAATGCTTCATTTAGTTCAGGTATTGTTAACTTCATAGTCTGTACTGAAGCTTGTAACATCCATATTTTCCCCACTTGTTTTCTCACGGTCTTGAAGCCATCCAATGAAGACACTAACGGCCCGTTTTGTTTTGTATTGAGTGTTTCGGCAAACACCTTCCTTTAATATTGCATTCAGGTCACCTTCTTTCAATGGTTGTCCACATCTACTCTGTTTTTTAAAATCACCGTCTCCATCCGCTTCATTTCCTGTGTAATATTGCCCATTTCTGCATCAGAAATGTCGGAAAATATTGGAGATTTCAGTGTAAAATTTGGAACATCCTTTTCTAGAGCTAACATATCACTCAATACATCATCAGTATCAACCGACTTTTGAGAAAATGCTGACTGTGTAATAAACAGGCATTCATCGTCGGAGGACATTTTGCAAATGGCAGAAGCATGAAAAGAAATGTTGTATATGCATTCAGTGTTAGAATACCTGTACCTGGTTTATATGTGATGAATGAATTGATAAGGTTGAACGCACAGGTGAACACTCATATGCTAGTACCCGTGATTTACCTGTACCTGGTTTATATGTAGTGGACTTCAATAGTGCTATGCTCAACATGTACTATATGCATAACTCGGCCCTAACGGGCCTCGACACTGTTCCCTCTCACACATATAGTACAGTTTTCGGCTCATCTCCTTAACTTTAATGCCTCATTTCTCACTATACAAGCTCATATTGCTATGCCTTCTAACTTTCTTAGTTTAACATTGTCTCTCAACATTATTGCCAGGTAACGCTGGTGCAGAAATTATATGATGACTATATTATTTTTAGGGGGATAGTTGAACGTGAACGGCAATCAATATTACAAGACCAGGACAGATATTGATGGGAGGAAGGAGGATGAGGAATAGAAACTGAACCTCCTCTCTCATGCCTTTGAGAACGTCATGATTTTTTTCAAAAGGCTGCAAGAACTGTACCAACAGTGACATGTCTGCCAGTTACTGTATACTTTTTTTATATTTCTTGTTTTGGAATGACTAACATATCAATTACAGGCATGAATTTAGCATAGTTACAATCGGCGGATTATAAGACAACGATAAAATATGACAAATTGACAATGATAATCCTAAGTCTCGGATGTAAACACCGATCTAAATATATATCTTCTAAGGCAAATAAACACAATAGGGTTCTGCCAAACATTTCGTATGATGTTTATTATTACTCCAACGATTATGTTGAATGTCGTATATAAAATCAATCAAATATTTAAAAAAAAAAAAAAAAAAAAAAAACACTTTGCATGTTCACATTGCTAACAAAATAGAAAACGAGGCAGTCAAAGAAGAATGATGAAAAAGAAAATTTGAGCACAGATGGCAGCACAGAAAACCAGGCGAAGGGCCATAAAATTAAGCAACAGGAAAGGAAAAAAGGTTACATAAACTGGAACTTCATACTGGCAACATGGTCATACGACGACTGAAAACCTGACATAACAAAGGGGAAGCATTCGAAATCAATTTTTTAAGAAATATTGTAGTACCACAACAAAGAAAATGGTAAGAAATACTTTCACTTGATAAGTAAGTGAATAAACCTCTGACTTCACTTTACAAAGCTATATCATTTTCTCTCAAACTCGTGACAGATAAGTCCACAGACCCTTCCAACAGGGAATAGTTCAAACGCTTTCCTTGCAAATGTTTGCTTAATGGAGAAGTCAGTGATCTTTAGTTGGGACGTGTTGAATCTGTGATTATTGATGCTTACAACCTAATGAATGTGATTGAACAGCTTCTGCTGACTAAAGGCACAAATGTTGGAAACTACGTTGGTTTTGATCAATATAAATCTATGGGTGGTGGGAGCAAATTTGAAAAACGTTAAAAATAGGTTTTTAAAAGATAGAAACACTGGCCATGGCTTCCTACTAGTTATTGTCCAGTGAAATAAAAGTCAGCGCCAATGCTAAGCAGTAAATAAAAATCCCTGCTATTCATTGTACGTTTAACAAGGCTAATGCTCAATATCAATAAAATAAAACAAACAAAAGTTATAATGTGTAACTTGATGTTTGTTAATTTCACTCGATTTTACCTGTTCAACTTTGTACATTAAAACTCGTGTGATATAAGAGAGGAATCCCAAACACGGTTGTCTCTTGGCTATGTCAGTGAAAGCAATTATTTCTAAAGTTTTCAACCATATTTCTTGAATCTTCATTTCAACATTCCATACATCAATTGTTCAAGACAGTTTGAAGGTCAAGCTCATTCATTCAAGGTGAAGGCTACAGCTACACAACATGTAACAGATACATTTTCAGTGCTTTCCTAACTAAGTGTTCAAACAAAATTTTATAAACATCAAATCATGCACTACCTGTTTGCATATACACATGCAATCTCAACTTTCAAGTTCTAATACCAACAATAATAAAAACCGTAATGTGCTCTAGCTGGTACATTTGCAGTACTCTTTTAAAATATATTTGAGACTGATATATACATCTTATTTTAAACGCTGGCCTATATAGATGATCAAGCTTAACATATGTTATGAATTTGTATATCCCCCGCAACGAAGGTTGTCCGTCTTTCCGTTTGTCTGTTGACGCAATGTAGTACCGTGTACTCCTCCTAAACTACTGGATGGATTTCAATGAAATTTGCTGATAACAATCCTTGCAGCTTGGAGAAGCGCGAAAAGTATTTTTCGTTGGGTTATCTCTCGTTTTCATGAGGTGATAGCCCTTGGTTCATAAACTTTCTCTAGACCATGACATTGTATAGAAAACGCAAGAACTTTAATTTTTTTATTCAATTCTTTCCAAATTTAGTATGGTACTACTAAAAGCAATAATGTTTAAACATATACCAAGTTTTCTGTCAAGGGTCAACTTTAAAAAAATGTATAAAGATGTCCATTTATGCAACATGTAATTTGAATCAACTCCTTCTTGCCTATAAACTAAGATTCAGAACATTTTCTATTTTCATTTGAGCATTGATGCAATCCCATAAAAGAAATATAAAAACAGGTCCAATTCGTTTGTGTCTCTAGTACTTACAGTACTTTGATTTATCTAATTTGTTCCTTGGAACAGTGATGCAAAATAATTCCATTTGTCATAAGAAGAGACTATTTCACTGCAGTGAATATGTGATCCACTGTATTTAAAAGCTTTTCATTTTTTTGACCGAAATAAAGGTATGGGAAGCAGTCATCGATTTATTCACAATTTGGTTTCTGCAAGTTAACATCCTTAAATACTGTTCAGTTTTAATGAAACTTGGGTTGTGTATAAGCAATATACACAGACTCATGCGAAATTGAAACTTGAAAAAATCATGCATACCCTGGTCAATGTCCACACTTTACAAGATAACTTGCTTGAATAGTCATCGATCAATATACAAACTTAGACTATAAGTTGAAAGTTGAGCGAAATCCATGCATATTTTTTTTAATTAGCATATTACGCTCCAATTGGCCAATGGCTTTTGCCAAGTAACTTTGTCACTGTCATAAGAACAGATTCTGATGAAACTAGGTTAATATATTATTCAACAACAAAGGCAAAGTTCAAAGATGAATAATCTTTGAATCTGTGCATAATCTACTACAAAATTAGTTCTTATAAGAAGCTGTTTCCACAATAATTTAGTAAAATATGACTTAATTCTGATCAAACTTTGTCAACATCTTAAAATATGCCAGTGATTTATAAGTAATAAGGGAATATCTTTGGCTTTAATGGTTTAAAATAATCAGTTATTGACAAAAGGGGTAAATGCCAATTTTTGTTTTTTAACGTTTGAAATATGGACAAAGGGAAGTAATTCCTACGCAAGTAAATTATCTAAAGGTCTAAAATGGTATATTCTAGAGAAAACTTAGTACCCCTCTTCTGACAAACATATAAAGATATACTGTACACACAAGAAGAATTACTTCACAGTGGTACACTTTTACATAAAACTAGAATTCATAACAAAATTAACAGTTAATCCTTTTTTGTTCCCCATTCCCAAAATAATATATTTGTCTTGGTCTATCTTTTGCCTTAAAGGGGCTGGTCGGGGGAAAAAAATACAAAATATATGTGTCTAAATTCGTTCTCTGGCCTTCCAAAAGTTATACTACGGCAATATGATGGTCGAGTTCTGCTTGCAATGTCCGGTTTTGACCACTGAAATCTCGGGGAAGCCCCGCGTAAATTTAGCGCAGATCTATTTATAATATGTCACGTGGTTGTTTCGAAAGTGAGGCAGTGAAGAAAACAACAATAGCACGCCGTCATGTGCCATGTCGGACACAACTAGCGGACAAGACAGCAATACCATACGTAAATAATCGTTTTAAAAGGTCTTGTATGATGCAAGTGTAGTATTCCTACCTATATGTTGTTATATATAACGGTATAGATACCTCGTGCCTGTCATGACTTTTGCATGCATCTTTTTCTTCCGCCGCGATGTTTACATTTGGCCTTGTTGATGATGCGCGTGCGGTAGAATTACATCACTGATCTGGGTCAAATGAGAGTTTTAGACTGTCAGGTGACGATTTCGGATTTCTTTAATATAATAATATTTTTTACTCTTAGGGAGTGAATTTCAGCAAAATTTGAATCGGTATATTTCATAAGAAGGTATTTTAAACATGTGTATGCCCTTTTAGCAAATATGACATTTTTTCCCCGACCAGCCCCTTTAACTTTCAGTACTTTGATTAGAGTTTGTAGATATGCTTTCATTAGGGTGCCTGCATGAGGGCGCTGTTCCTGTGTTGATGGTTCAATTTGTCAGTTGTAATGTCCGCTGCTTGCACATAAGTTTTCAATGTGCACAGAACTGATGACGTCATGTGATTAAAACTAGCTTGCGTGTATTGCTGACTTTCAGAAAATTAATTTGTACTAAATTAACCCTTATGAACAGTAATGTAGACTTGAGGTTGATTCACATAAAAGATTATACTCAGCAACCCACGTTATTGAGGAAGCTATAAACGGAGGACTTTCCATTTACGATCATCTTTTGTGACTAAAATGATCCCGAGCACTGACGAATGAATGTGTTAGATAATTTAGATGTTCCAATATGAAAAACAACAATTTGAACAGGAACATCGTCCGGATAATGAGTTATTAAGTTGCATTGGAAAGTAACGTACGCGGTCATTATCTGCATATTAAGTCCTGTGATTATCCGGTTATTATCTACCTGTACGACAGGTCTACACGTTCGAACAGGTAGGCTGGATTTAAAAATAGACATGTAGGTCAAGGTTCTTTAGGCATTGATCACGTTCGTGTTATCGTGTAAGCTGGGACGGAACTATTTTCAGGCAAAGTCAACATCTTCTATCGCATTAGTCATATCATTGTCTTGTCATTACATGGGTGGAATCATTTCAAAGGTACTGAGATATGATAAAAACTAGAGATATTTGTTCACTGGGTATGTAGTTAGATGGTCAGGTGTGTGGTATCTTGACTCATTCAGTAGTCATACTACTGTCATATTACTGTTCGTCCTTCAATGACCATAGCTTTTGATAGGATGTTAAACAATACTAAACCAAACCAAACAAGCGTACTCAGTATACCCTTGACTTGTGTTAGTGTGCAGGCTTTACGCTACCTCCCCTCCCGTTCATATCATACAAGTGATTTTAGTTTGAGTAACGGTTATATGATAACTTAATATATACGACCATGAATTGTGTCAAGTTGCATTAACAAGCTACTTCACACATCATGCTAGATAGTTAAGATCGGAGATACATATAAAATTGTAAATTAATTATATAATATGGTCGCCTTCGGGTTTAGTGGATCCCTGTGTCAAACATTTTCTTTTGTCTGTTTGTTAAACTAACCTGCCCAACCAGCAAGTGAGCTTATGTCATGGCGCTCCTCCGTCCGTCCGTCAACTACTTTTAAAACGCTGCTAGTCCTGAACGGCAAAGTCGATTTTGAATAAATTTGGTCTGGAGCATCCGCAGGCCGAGTATACTGAATTTTGTATAAGCGGTGGGTGTATCCCGCCCAAGTAAGGAATGCAATGGGTTCAGTCACCATTCCGGGACATACCAAAGTCCTTAAAAATGGTAGTTGTGATTTCCTATCAAACGTTCAGTATTTAGGGAAATGGCAACAACTGGTTCACCCGTTCTCAATACAATGTGACTAGCCGGAATGCTGTACTTGGTACTTGGTTGGCAATACAGGAGTTCTTTTCCTGTCGTGACCGCGAAGGCAGTTCGGCGACACGTACAGGAACTTGTTCTCGTCCCAACCTACCGACAACGCCAGCACACATGCATGGCCCTCCATCGCCGCGCAACAACCTCTGAACTAGTCGGACTGGCGGAGTACATCGAGGGTCAGTGGATAGACGACGATGTCTTCACCCACGCTTCGTGGACTGTCTTCCGACAGAGTGTCCGTACCAACAACGATGTTGAAGGTTTGTTATAAAATTGCTGTATGACGTAACTTCTACATGTTTGATTCAACGTCAAGGCAGGACATGGGATGGCGCTTTTCTATAGGCTGGTTCCCTTCGTGTGAGAGAGACTTCTCTGGTAGAGACCAACGTTTCTGCCGAAGACTTCGCAAGGGACAATCAGAATGGAGAGCTATATGGCCGACGAACTTTCTACCACTGCGTTGTTGAGGAGATGTACAGCTCTGTACACCAGCAGGTTGGTCGGGGCAGAGGAGGAGGAGGAGGCTAGAGACGAGTAAAATGTGTGCCTCTTTTGTGTTAAGAAACTTATGAGAACACTGTGTTGTTTGTCATTTAATTGTGGTTCGTAAGTAGTGTATTGCGTTTTGTGTTAAATAAGTGAGTAAGTAATTCTGAGATCCAATAAGTGATTCTAGTGCTTTAATTATGGGTCAGCGAGTGAGTAAGTGGTACTAGAAAGTAGTGTACATATTGTGCAAGTAGTGCTAAAGGTTTGTTAGGGTAAGTGTTATTGTGCAAGTGTTCAAGACTTTTATTTTAAGGCGACGAAATTTGGGATTTTATCTTTTCTCTTCTTTCTTCTTCCTAATGTCTCCCTTGACATTTCCTGAATTTTGGCCTTTAGTTGAGCGTTCGCCCCTGTGAGGAAGACTTTGGGTTCTGTCCCCTGGCCGAGACATACCAGAGTCAGGAGATGCACTTTAGTCCATGTACATGTAGGCATTGTGGGATAAGTATAGAACTTGGCATGTATATTAGTTATATGATGATATTTAGTTTGTGAAAGTTTCATACTTATCTGGGTACCCCCAAAGACCCACTTTCGGTACTTTTACCTTAGTTTTTGCACATATAATGCTAAAGGACATTTTTTTTAAATTAAGGAGGTGAAAATCTGAATATACCGGAGGCAACAAAATGGCCTTATAGACACTCATCCGTTGTAGAGATTAATATTAGTTATTTAGTTCATGCCAGGAAACCCACTGTCAGACGTGTCCATCGAAACAAAACAGAAATATATCGGAGGTGTAGCTCGATCCTGAACCCTAGCTACTGTTAAATAAACCAGTGACCCGAATCCACCACGGTAACGTCACAATTACCACGTGACCGGTTTCAAGATTCAAGAAGCTTTATTTAACGTCACATATACATGTTACATAATAACATTTACACTGTAGTGTTATTCTTGCGCCAAAACATATTTAAAATTTAACAAGGATCACAGTACTTAGGAATAAATATAAAAACAGGACAACAATTCAAATTAGATATGCTAAAAATATACAGTAGAGCATATGATATCACACTTGAATGTCACACAAGTGTTACAAAAGACAAGTTAAGACACTATACTAATGTAATGTTCATATATGCTAATGTAGCAAAGTGTAAAAATTTACAGGATATACACTAATATAGTGTGAATTAAAAAGAGGCAATGAAGTCATGAATATTAACAGAGCTATAATTATGATATTGTAAAAAAGTAATGATCTTTTAAATAATGGAGCTCAAATCTAAAATAAATATTAATTATATATTAAGTATATTACTGAAGTATATTAAATTAGATAACACAAGCAGCAGTGAAATTAAATAGTTGTAGTATAAAACATGAAGGTAGATTCCAAATGGGGACAACTCACACTATATGGTGTTTGCAGATAGCACATGAGCAGACATTTTTGTTCCAGGTGCGGAGCAGCCCAAGAAACGACTTATAGTTTTCAGTTAATCGAAGTTCATTTGGTAGGCTGTTCCAGACCTTGGAAGCGGCAAATCGGAAAGATATCTTACCAAATGTGGAGGTGTTCACCTTTGGAATCTTTACCAGGTTATCGTGTCTCAGGTTGTAAAAAACTTCTTTCCTCTCTACAAGATTTTGTAGAATTGATGGAGAAATTTCATTTAAAATTTTAAAAACCTCAGAGGCCATATCTTTCATACGTTTTACATCAAAAAAAATCAAGTTTTGTGTTTTCTAAGAATATCAATGACTGGGGAAACATAATCATTTTCAATAAAACGAAGTGCTCGTTCCTGAACTTTTTCCATTTTTCGAGTATTTGTCAATGTACAAAAGTGCCAGGCAAGTGGACAATAGTTAAAATTTGATAGAATAAAAGACTTAAAAATGGTAAATTTTCCTTTCTTTGTAAGATTGTTTCCCAGTCTTTTTAAAACAGCAAGTTGTTTAGCAGCATTTCTGCAAAGGCGAGATATATGTACATCAAATTTAAGAAGAAAGTCAATATCCACACCTAAAAGTTTCACACTGTCTTCACAAATAATCTCAAGGCTTTCAATATTAAAAGATTTGATAGTGTTACTATTCTTTTTGCCAAAACATATTGCCTGAAATTTCTCTGAATTGGCCTTCATACCATTAAAATCAAACCATTCTATAAGAACTTTGCTCTCTTTTTCTAAACAATCTTTCAAATACATATAATTGTCACAAAGCGTGTTGTCGTCTGCGTAATTGTATAAAATACATTTATCTACAAAGGTAAAAATATATTTCATAAAAATATTAAAAATTAGAGGTCCTGCAATAGAACCCTGGGGGACCCCCTTTACATCAGTCCATTTGCTTGTCTCTGGCCCCAGTTTGACCTGCTGTTTTCTGCCACTCAGGTAGCTGCTGATGAAGTCAATAGATGACATACCCAATCCATAAGCTTACAGCTTCCCGAGTAGCAGATTATGAGGAATGCAGTCAAATGCCTTGGACAGGTCCATCAGGATGGCTCCAACATGCTGATGGTTGTCCAAGGCCTGCCTTATATTCACTCAGTTGGTTATGAACGTAGGAGGCGTTCCAGATAATCTGTTCACACATTTTGTGGACATTTCGAGCCCTCCACATCATTATGGATACTTCACTAGAGTTGCGTTCTTGACCACTTTCTTTTTCAAGTTGTTTCCATACTGAAATTAAAAAAAAGTAGCAAAATATATGTAGACGTCTATAAAGGTGTGAAGTAAAATGAAATGTTAGTTTTCCTTAATGAGCTGATTTCTTGTATATGTAACTTTGTTGTCCAAGGCCTGCCTTATATTCACTCAGTTGGTTATGAACAAGCCTTTCAAAACATTTTGACAAAGAGGGTAAAATACTAACAGGCCAGAATTTACTCTTTTCCATAGGATTGTTTTTCTTAAAAATTGGTAAAACCTGTGCCTTTTTCAGAACATCAGGGAAATGGGAAACAGTTACACAATGGTTAAAAGGCATTAAAAAGCTCATTAAAATTATCACCGGTAATGGGCGGTCACCTTCGGTTTCCTATATCTAGGTAATGAGACACATAAACGCTCGCTGAACAATGTTCGATATTAATTTTAGTGCATTACCGGTTTCGCTTATTTTATCAAAGAGTAAAATTTCTTGGTCAAAATCCTTTAAATGACCTTAGCTGTCGAAAGGACGTTAAACCCTATTACACCAAACCAAATCACCAGTTGAGGCACCTGTCCCTTTTGGCTGTAGTCTACATACGAGTTGGAACACTTTAAATATGGATTTATTCTTTTGATCTTTAGTACAACTGGCATCGAAACGCTAAGTTGAAACATTTGCTTCCGTCTGGTTAAAGAAAACATCATTAAATGTATTTTATTCTATTCATTTGAACTTTATGAATGTTCAATCCATTTAAATGTTATGTTGAATAATTTCGACACGGCAAATACTGGTTACTTTTAGATAACACAGATTGTGTTATACTTATTGGTAGTTATTTAAACATGCATAATCCCCCTGTACACATGTAGGTATGATATGTTGGTATTTGTCTTACCTGGGTAACGGTCAGGTGTGTTATACCTCATCTTATCAACCGGTTGCTATGGAAACCTATATCTAGGGTGGCAGTGTTTACCTGTAGGATGTATCTCGTTATGTACTCCGTAAATACAATTAACTTCTGTGACACACGTGTCGTCGACTGTCGAAGGTCCGTGGCCGGAGGAGGTTCTGACATACCTGGGATATACAAGTACCCCCGACTGTAGGAGGTTAAAGCATACCTGAAATATATAGGGATTTAGTCCTTACCACAAAACGGCATCTGATCAAAAACATTTTAGATCGGAGACCGATTGTATTTAAACCAATGAGTGTTTACGGTGAGGCCAGACATGTAAATGGGGTAAGCGGAAACTTGGCATCGCTTATCTAGTGTAAACTCTGTCCCTGGATCTGGTTTATTTTATCAAACATTGAAATTTGAGTTCACGACAAAGGGATATTTTCTGTCTTTGGACTAGGATTAATGCTAGTTACATCGAAAATTTCGTGGATATGTATGGATATTTTCTCGTTGTCTGTAAGTAAAAAACGAAATGTAATTTGCTTGATATGTCACTCAATATATGTATGCATGGTAACGGTGTTGATATTTTAGAAAATATATTTTGCTTTTTGCCTATTGTTAATGTAAATAGTGATAGTCTAAATATAAAGGGTGTCCAACGAGAAATGACAGATAGTAGTATATACCCAATTCTACTCCTAAAGTGGGTTGAAAGATCCCTTGTAAATAAATTGAATGAACTAATAGTGTGCCATCCCTATGGGCTCGACTCGAGCCGGGGAGGGGGCGGTGTGTAGGATAGGGGTAACCTATCTGTCATTATGGCTGAAGGGAGTGATTCTGAATCTCAAGTTACAACCTTCGAGTTTTAGCGAGTTTTATCACAATAACAGACGACTTAAGACGGCGTTATAGCACGGCCGGTGAGGTGATTTCGAAATTTATCCAAATCTCTGATGTGTGCTTGAAGTGATGAAATAAATGTATAGCATTTCTGTGTTAAATCAGATTATTTACCGTTATCAGTATAAAATGTGATCGGGCGGAATACTATGATACATGGCTTCGTCATGGTATTTCATTGAGGTAGCAAAACTTAACCAACCCGTTTGTAGGTATTTTTCTCAGAAAATAAATATGTATTTCTATTAACAGTTTACCAAAGTAGGGAAGAGAGGATTTGACCAAAACTTCAACATCCCTGGGGGACAATTTCATATCCCCTGCTAGTATGTCATAAATATGCATGTATTACATATTCCACATCATAGCCTTGCATCATTTATGTTCACAGAAGGGCAAGGACAATGTTAAAGTTCTAAATGATCTTGTAATATCAAAAACTATTAGCTTTTTTCTGAAGAAATACGGAAAAGGCCCGAACGGTTTTCCAGTTGCTCAAATTACCTGCATTTCGTGTCGACATTACTGTAGATAACTCCATACACTTTGATGTATGTACCCGATGTAACTAAGCATTATTTTGACTGCTTTTCTCCCAAGGATCAAGATTGAATATGGGTGTAATATTTGAGAACAGTTTCTGATTAACGATGAATTACCTCTGATTGTCGGTAATATTTGAGAACAGTTTGTGATTAACGATGGATTAACTCTGATGGTCGGTAATATTTGAGAACAGTTTCTGATTAACGATGGAGTTCCTCTAATGGTTGGTAATAGTCATTATTAAACAGCTTTAACGTTATTGTCCAACACGTTTCGTAATTACCATCAGTGGAAATAGTTCTACGGTGACAAAATAACAAACAAAAACGCAATTTCAGACTTGTTGCTGATGTTACGGTAAGGATTTAGTCGACCAACTTATATTTCGTGTTCTTTACGGGGCTCACTCGATTAACGAAATGTTAATCAGTATGATTGTTAACGTATATACAAATGTATTACCTGTACACGGGTAAATCGTGAGAACCTTTTGCAGACAAGTAGACTGATAACATCACCACCGATAATGATGGAATGTTTAAACGTAAAATTCCGATTAACAAGGTACGTGTGTCAAAGATTCTTAAAGTGCAGCACGTCAATGGGGGTCCATTAAAAAAGCATTCATGACGTCACGCTTCACGTTCAATTAATAAATAAATGTCTGTTTTTCAGGTCTGATACCCCTGATCAGAAGCCAAGGTAGGTGATATTTTTTTTATTTTCCGCATTAAAAGGTTCGTGATATGATATTCTCTTAATAAATATCGCCTCTAACACCTAATGTAGAGTAATTCCCCTGGGATTGTGAATATGTGGAATGTAAGAGGAAATATTAGTTATCAGGATGGTCTCTCGGGCAAGTTTTTTAACGTGTTTATATAAATAACCCAACAATGAAATTAAGGGAATGAATTATAATCAAGATGTCTATATCGGTAAACAGGTCTGCCTGTATACAAAGGTTTTATCTTTATACTAAATATATGTTCACTTTTTCTCTATACTTGTATTAATCTTTTCATGCTTTAAAATGTGATCGTGTGTCTTGCTTAGGGTACAAATAAATAACATCCGTCTATATAAAAGGTAATCACCAGTCAAAATACTCTCTAGAATTAACGTAGCCGATTACAGTATGGCGGACAAGGTCAAAACGACAAGTACGTTACACGTGCAGCTTTTTAACATTATTTACTTTCTTGATACCGGTGTCTATATGTTTTCGTTGTTAAGCTATTCTAAATCTTATCAAAAAGCTGTCATCTTGATTGAACTTCTTTTTTCATTTCTATCATCTACTTTCCGCGATAGTTGCAGTGCTCGTACTGTTGTCCCACCTGATAAAAAATATGACGATGTCGGTCGGACCTCGGTTCGTCGAATAACTAGTATTCTTCGAACAATTGATCTGAACCCTACGAGTTTGAGTAAACGGTGTTTTACTGTATTAATTGTTTCATGCTTTAAAATGTGATCGTGCATCTAGCTAAGGTTACAAATAAGTAACATGTATGTAAGTAAAAGGTAATCACCTGTCAAAATACAAGTAATCATGGAACTGGTAACGTAAGTATGTGTCTTTAAAATTATATATCTATCACATTGAAATTTTGTGATAAACAAGTGCTGGAATTAATTGTGATAGTAACTGCTTTTTCATGAAAATCTTTAATCTTACTATGTATCATCGAATTCATTTTCCGAATTGTTCATATCTAATAGCTCAAATGTGACTTTATACAAAAGAAGTTTATTGGAATTTTAGACAGAATTGACTATATACATGCATATAACATTATCGTAAATTGTAATTATCTACGTCAATATCCATAGACTTAGTGACATTTAAGATAAGACTCGTGTGTGAAGTTCTATACACCTTAGCACATATGATTACTTTCTCAGAATAGATCATTACCATTGTCTTTTGTCCTTTATTGTATGTACTTGAATTTAACTGTGATCAGATGTTTTGTAAGGTTTAGTTCTAGACTTTGTACGGAACGCATCGAGATTATTTTGGATACTCCAGAATATCCCGCCGTCAAGTCAATAGTTATCTCATATTAAATTTCAGTTATTCTGTTATTAATATTAACGTGCGGAAAAACTGTATGTTATATCTATGAAATAATATCTTCAAGTGATGATTAATCATGTCTCTACATCTTATATGTAATCATGTAAATTAAATAAGGACAACTCTAGTTCTTTTATTGAATATCACTTGTTTTTTTAGCCAACGCTAATTTTTACGATGGTACTTCAATCAATATATTCAAAAGGAGCGTATCTGGTAAAGTTATAAAAACACATTGTGAACCCTGAAATCATTAAACACGTTTTCCTACTGTGACTATCCCTACAACTTAATGGAGAAAATGTATAGATGATGTAATATAACCGTATAGTTAACTTTATTTAAAGTCTGTGGGCTTTTTAAAAACAAATAACAAGCTCTGTAGAGCTTTTGACCGACAAACATGTTAATATAAACTTTATTTCATTCCATATTAAGTTGTATATGACACCACATAACATACAAAGTACAGAGGAATGGGATCCGGAAACAAGTTGAAATAACTTATATAAATCCGTTTCCGATAATTTATCTCGTTAAATTAAGGCATGATGGCATAGTTACTGAATTCTATGGAAAGAAATATAAACACTTAAAACAGTAACTTTTACACGTAGTTCGAGGGATATTTGAAATGTTAGTAAAAGAAGAGGGGGATATAGATGCCCGTGCCAATAAGAATAGAAGGAGAGGAAATAGGTGATGTAAAACAAAGGATCGTTGTATAATGAATTGAACTTAGTCAAATCTCTTAGAATGGATGATGAAGTTTTGTACAGATGAAAAAATTAAAAGCATTTTCATCATCTGTAAGCTCATCATTCCCGAACAAAAGTAAATCAGTTGAGAGTGGATGGTTGATTTCGTTAAATGTATGTAAACGTAGTTGAGAAAAAGAAGAAAAAAAAGTAATAGATAATGTGCATTGGTTTCATTTGCTTGCATGCAAGAACACAGCGGACTATCAATTAGATTTCTCTGGTATAGATAAAACGTGAGGGAACAACACTCCATTCTTATTCTAGCATGATGTATCTGCCCCAGTCTGGTACCATTAAAGTAGAAAATTGGAATTTTGTGAGCGGGCTTGTGTAGATAGGTTTTAAGTTTATAAATTGAAGGGTCGTTCTTGACATAGTCGGGCAAGGAGTTCCAGATACTGATGACAGATGGCAAAACAGATTTATTATAGAGACTCGTATGACTAACTAGTGGACGAACATTATTACCCGTGCGAGTATCATGGTTGTGGTAATTTCGGTAACGCTGAGGTAAAATATTTAGAAGATATTGAGGAGCCAGACCATGAACCATTTTGTGGAAAAGAATAAGATTGTGCTGTATACGCCTTTCCTCGAGGGGAAGCCAACCTGTTTCAGTATACAGTTTAATTCTACCTGTGAGTCTAGTGCCGCCAGTGACTATGCGTGCTGCTTCTTATTGAAGATTTTCTATTAACCAGGTTGAGCTTTAGTAAGGCAGTCCCATAAGATATCGCCATAGTCTAATATAGGTCGAATAAGAGAATTTAAATTTACGGAAGATATTTATTTTAGGTGAAATCTTGGATATCAAATAACTGATGTGTTCATTCCAATGACCATTTCCAGAGAGAAAAATACCTAAATGATTGTGTATAGTAACTTCAGAGATGTTAATATCGTTCATATTTAAGGGAAGGTGAACATTTTTAATGGTTTTTCTACTAATGAGCAGGGTTTCTGTTTTGGAAGGGTGAAAATTTACTAACCATCTTTGCGACCATTTATGAATTTAATTAAGGTCACTATTAAGAATGTCTGCGCTGACTCTAGGAATATCAACGGTTACGTAAAGAGAAGTGTCATCAGCGAATTAATTTATTTTAGCTTAAATATCTTTAACAATGTCATTTATATATATCAGAAATAAAAGAGGTCCAAGAATTGAGCCCTGTGGAACAAACATGTGACATACAAAGACGTTCACACTTGGACAATTTAGGCAATAATAATATATTAAATGAGATAAAAACACTTCAGATTTCGAGCTATTATCAGTATAGACACATTTTACACATTGTAGCTAGAACAATACATCTAACATATATCAAAACACCATCAATCTGTTTGTGGCGCCTTTCAAACCATTTTGAGTGCACGAAAGTATGTACAGCGTCAGGGAGAGGGCTTGTTGTCCAATTCCCTTTAAATAGATTGATTTCGTAAAACATTTTTTAATAAAGTATACAACTTTGACACTACACCAACGGATTTCTGAAGTACAAGGAAATAGTCCATGCGCTAATGTGTAACTTTAGCGTGTGAATATGAATACGTTTGCATTTCCTTGTGTAACGCAATTTGTCTACGATAAATACTTCACAGAGGTCCTACCTTACTTAGTAAATAGACGATCTACTGACAATTTAAATGTTGATTAAAATCATGGACATTCCAGATATGTGCAGGAAGCATTTTCTGTCAGGGCCGGACGGAGTAGCCGATAGTAGCCTGACCGCTTCCTCCACGTACAAAAACAATTCAGACCCGAAACATGACTATGGTCCCTCCAGGGGGCGCTTAAATGTTACTGAGGTCAAGGACGCCTCTGGAATGACCCTGATTGGTGGATGGTCAGCAGATAAAAACGATGTCCACCAGTTCATTGAGGTCTGTATGACTGCATACTGGTTATATGAGATAGAGATCTAGTTACCATTCAATGACAATGTAATATCATTAAACACTCGCCGTACAGAATGGGTGGCGGGTCGGGCCAAAAGCGAAAAACAGTAACGCGTTAGAAGTAACATTAAACGCGTTAGAACTGACTTTTAACGCGTTAAATGCACTTCTTACGTGTTACTTTTTTTTAAACGTTACTGAATATCGTTTTTGGCCCGAACCGCTACCCATAGTACAGTTAATTTCAGTTCACTTGTCGGAATTATGCGGGATAAAAGAAATGTTAAGAAGCTGACATAATTATATGTAAATCTACCGTTTGATGTTATAATGTTTTTAACTTAGTCGTTTAAGATTAATAACAAACACAGTTCAATGCACCTTTAACATTCCGGAAAAGAAATACAGACATACTGCTGTTTCGTCCTTCTAAGACTCAACGGTGATTCTAAGGACCGAAATGTTGGAAATATATTATTAATTACTGTTGAAACAGAAGAGAAGGTGCGCAAATCCCTTTATTAAAGTTATAGTTCCCTTTATTAGGGTATGGGGTGGTGGTTTTTTTGCTAAGGTATTAACATCCTTGCCACAACTAGGTGTCTTCTGCATGGTATTTCAGTGAGATAGCACTATAAAGTCGGCGTCAGATATGCGCTTCCACAAGGAGGGAAATGCACCAACATACCATGTATCTTGCACACACTCACGCGCGCTTACACAACATACAGTAGGTAAGTCCTTAAATGACCTTAGCTGTTGACAGGACGTTAAACAATTTAAAACCAAAATTGAACCAAGGTCATATAAGAAATGTTTTTAACAATGTTTTAGCTCAAATTATTTCTGATTTTCGCCACTAGGTTAAACTACAGGGGCCGACCGTGATCCGAGGGGTCGTGACCCAGGGTCGCAATGGCTGTTGTAAACAGTGGGTGACAAAGTACCGGGTCCTGTACAGTCACGACTGTGTTAACTGGAAACCCGTGGGAGGCCCAAACACAAACGACGCCGTAAGTATTCATACGTAAAACGTGTTGACTAAAAAGCTGGAACAAGTGGAGCAAAGTATCTTGTTCAAAGATACAACACAGTGCTGTGACGTGACACGAGCCCGGCGTTCTACGACTAGACTACCGTACCTCCATGAAACCTTTTTAACATTCAAGTTCGATAATTGAATTTTGTAAAAAATAAAGTTATATTTAACAACTACATACGAGTAGTATGTCTTTTGTGCAAAACGATTGTCCATTTTATAAAGAAGTTTAAATGTGTAGATTCATTTTAAACTTTTTCATTTTTTATTTTTAGTTCTTTAAGGGAAATAGTGATGCGGACACACCCGAGGCCAAAATGTTCCAGTGTCCGGTAGTCGCTATGTGTGTCCGCATCAACCCATTGGAGTGGAACAACCATATCTCCCTGAGATTTGACCTCCTAGGATGTCCCCTTCATTCTGGTAAGTTCCAATGATGTGTACCTCCTGGAATGACACATTCATGCAATAGATCAAAGCGTTCGTCAGTTCAAGAAGATATAACTGACCATACCCAAAAGTAAAAATGACCATACCCAAAAGATATAACTGACCATACCCAAAACATATAACTGACCATACCCACTTGGCATTTTAAGTTGACATTTGTCTTTTTGTCTTTTAGTTTGTTTGATGTCATTCCCTTTCACTTGTTTTATCTACCCTTTATTGGCCCTAAAGACCGCTTCTGCGTTGATTGGCCGTTAAGAACTCAGTAAATATATAAGTCTGCAATAGACTGCACCAATGACACCTCATTGATTCGACTGTTGGGTACTTCGGGTAGAAATTTATGCTTTCTTCCTAGGAGACATCAAAAAGATGGAAATTGATTGCTGCCCTCGTTTCAATATTTGTTACCGATACATTGTTTGCTTTTTCGTTTACTAATTCTGTCCTGGTGTTGAGAGACCGCCAGAGTGACAAAGATTGTGTATTTCAGCACTCTTAAGGCCTCCATTTTGCTTTGACATTTTGCCTTAAAAGGGTGGCGGTGAAGACCGAGATTCCATGTACACAAGCTACTACGGACGATGGTTTGCCCGTGACTTAGACCCTGATCGATAACTTAGTAAGGGATAGGGTAGCGGTAAAGACCGAGATACCATGTATACAAGCTACTACGGACGATGGATTGCCCGTCACTTAGACCCTGATCGATAACTTAGTAAGGGAAAGGGTGGCGGTAAAGGCCGAGATACCATGTACACAAGCTACTACGGACGATGGTTTGCCCGTGACTTAGACCCTGATCGATAACTTAGTAAGGGAAAGGGTGGCGGTAAAGACCGAGATTCCATGTACACAAGCTACTACGGACGATGGTTTGCCCGTGACTTAGACCCTGACCGATAACTTAGTAAGGGAAAGGGTGGCGGTAAAGACCGAGATACCATGTATACAAGCTACTACGGACGATGGTTTGCCCGTCACTTAGACCCTGACCGATAACTACGAAAAGCTGTTGATAATCAATGTGTTGACGGTGTCCTCAGATACATAGTACACAGCATGTTATTTCACAATTAGTAGAGCGTGTTTTGGACCTTGACCCTTTACTTTGAGCGATGACCACTAAATATAATCAGATGTAGAACACCATAGTACCATACTTTCGCGAAGATGACGTTTACCAGTATGTAAGTCATCTGTTTATTCGCTGGGTTGAGTCATCATCCATGTAACAACATTAAAACACACATAAGACAATGTACTGTAACGAAGTCGCTTTACATTAGACAATTGACATTGACACGTACCAGAAATACTAATAACAGATACAAATTCACTAACAAGTAGTCTATGCAATAATATATAAATATGAACCACAAAGTATCGGGCATATGTTATTGTTACCTGCACCCAAGAACATTTTCAGTATATAAATAATAGGCTCTTCTTCACGAGTTTTGGTTAAAACAAATGACCGCACCCATCATCAATATGGACATGTTACGGAAAGGTAGAAAAAATGATAATTACCGAGTTCCAAAAAACCTCAATGTAACCCCTTGTAAGGTAGGACGGTGGTGCCTACTGAAGTAAGATAAAGGATAGAGAAGGCACTAAAGCGGGAAGAATCGCGCAGGGCGATAGAAGTAAAAGGTCAGTTTGACACTGGTCAGATAAGTGTACAATAACATACACAATTACGTCATACCTCTCATACATTCCACTCAAAATGAACGGAAACACGAGACTTGGAGATAACGATGATGGAAACGGAGCGATTGATTAAAATCAACGACACAAAATTATACAAACAAATAATGAAGAGTGGGAAATGCGACGCGTGCCGTGTAAGATGATATATCGTAAATGGAAGAAAATTGAATTTCACTATCGTTTCAGGAAATACCTCTGCAAAATCACAAGTTACCATTGCAACAGGGAGTGGCAGTTTGACACCTGCTGGAGTTACGGCCCCTGTCATTACACCTGTCCCAGGTTGGTAGGACTTTTGACCCATCTCTCCTGCTGACCCATCTCTCCTGCTGACCCATCTCTCCTGCAGTTTCAGAGAAGAAAAAAGCCTGATGTATCCCACTGCATGTCGGACAAGACGAAAAATGTGCCCCCCCCCCCCCCAACCCAAATCCCAACCCCAACCCACCCTGTAGAATTGAGGGTTTTCCTCTGTATCTTCTGCTGCCTCGGTTGCAATATTTGGAATTTTCTTTCTCCTTTCTAACAACCATCTTTTGATTCGAAGAGCCTTCCTCGACAATACCTCACTTTTGGACTTTGAACGATTGCCCAAGTAAGGAATAAAGGCAATGGGTTCTGTCCCTGCTAAACGTTCAGCATTAAGGGAATGGCAACAACTGGTTCACCCGTCGTCAGTATAATGTGACCGGGCGGAATGTTGTGGTGGGTGCCTTCGGCATGGTATTTCAGCTATGTAGCACTATAATGTCGGCATCAGATCCGCGCTATCGTCACGAGTCAAATCCACCAACATACCCGATCTCCAGCTAAAGATTAAGTTACAGAAATGTGTCCTGTTAAAAATGCAAGATGGACATATTTCACATTTTCTTGTTAAATGTAATCAATAAAAGTCGGCACAATTGAAAACGTTTGTTTCCGTGTTTATTTACAGGAACTGGTGGGGTACCTGTCCGACCTGTGAACCACGGTGTCAAGCGACGTAAGTACCGTGCTGTATGTACAAGAACAGTCTGAACACCTACTACGTAATAAATAGAAGCATTGAAAGGAAATGATTGCAGTTTGTTTTTTTATCAAAATTAAAACATTAGCATCTGGTTCATAGATTTGAAGGATAATACCGTGTTCTTTGGCTTAAATGTATTTATTTTTGTCACTCATCAAAAAGGATCAGGCACAAGTTATCTCAACTTAGAAACGTCTTCCCAATAAATTTCATTATATAAATTACATGAAAACAGCAACAAATATATTTATAAAGACAATAGCTATATGATAGAAGAGGAAAGGAAGAAAGAAAGAAAGAAAGAAAGAAAGAAATTGAAAAGAATAAGAAAGAGAAATGATTTTTAATGTAGGTAAGCTCTATATGGAGAACTCATCAGCCAGTTTTGGTGAACAGTAAAGAGGAACATTAGGAGAAATATTACAACAACGAGAGATTTCATCATTCTGAATTTGTCGTTTTCTTTTCACATTCATTTCCACATGCACACGCTGGATCACTTATAATATTAACTCTATGCAAATCATACTTTAAACTACTACTATAACGTTCAATTTACGATTTCCAACATAAAAAAATCGGCAACAAATAATCTAGGTTACATTGAATTAGTTATTTAAAACTGTGAACGGATTGCTGTTCTCTGAATGTGTTTGCTAAATCGTTTCGTGTTTTTATGATCTTCGTCCTCGCCTTGAACTACTATATTAGTATGTCTAGCCACGTTCCTCTTTCATATTATTTATGTAACTGGTCGTTTGCTTTACAGTAGCATCAGTTCAATGACATCGGTCTTACATTGACCTTAAGCATTACAGCGAGTGTAGATATGACCTTTGTCTGACCTTGATCTTTGTTACAGAGTGTGTAAAACAATGCAAGGGTATGGCCCCGGGAGTTTACCAGTCGTGTGATACCTGTGACGGCTACGTTACCTGTGTGTGGGGGTTTCTGTACAGGCAGCCGTGCCCGCCGGGCCTCAAATGGAACGACAATTTCCGAGTGTGCGACTTCTCCTCCACCACATGTCCATAGACCTGCTCATCTGACCCGTGGACGAAATCACCGGAATTGACCACCGATACTGACCAGTTACCTAACTGATGAAACCTTCAACAGTGTTCTGTGCGGGTTTTCCCGAAATTTGGCGTCGACCGTACTTGATAGTAAAACTATAATGGACATCATTATGTAATATATGTAATAATAATAATAATAATTCGAAGTTCTTGTATACAGCCTTATCATAACCTAGTTCGTAGGTCATCTCAAAGCGGTTCACAAATTGCTATAGTGCATTTGCAACAAACTATCTCAACTCCCTGGGGAGCATACAGCCGTTGCTGCCATTTCGGCGTCCACAGCTAGCATTCAACAGTTCTAGCACTACCCAACCACGTACTCATTTACAGCTGAGTAGACTGGAACCAGCGGGGTAAAGTATTTTGCTCAAAGATACAACACAGTGCCGTGACGTGACTCGAACCCGCAACCCTTCGACCTCCTGTAAGACTTAGAACCAGGATATGCATTACCTTAAGAATCCCATACTAAATACGGTCACAATACATAGTTTATATCACTCGGACAACGCTATCTAATCTAAGCAGAGTATTTAACTCTTATACAAACAATACTAATGTGACACATATGATGTAAATATTCTCAGTGATTTTGGTTTGTATCTCAGCTACCCCAGAGCAAAGGGAACTGAGAATGTGTTATATTTGGACCTTAACTAAGGTGTTCCCAGTAATTTTACTTGTTTTAGAGGTTAAGAACAACTTGAGGTAAAAATACCGCCCAATCAATCCCAACCCAACCCAGTGAGGATATATACGAGCCCTTCACGTATACATCATTATTAAGGAGGTGAGTGGCTTTTTACCGAAAGTTGTTGTAAAGCCCTGAAACGTGTAACATTATTCGGAACTTCTTAATTTACGTCCAAATATAGCTGTAACAAAATATCAGGTCCCTGTGCCCTAGCGGACAGTCCTTTCTGCAATCTGATCCCTTCAAATGCATAAGGCACATCTGTGTAAACGCATGGTGTTCTTAATTTATATTTTCTAACATATTCGCGGTAGTTATATTTTTGCATTTAGAAGAAGCTAATTGCTTCCATTAATATACATTCAGTATTTACCTAAAAACAATATGTATGACGATTACGATGGACTCAAAAATTTGTACCAGCAGTGAATGCCTATCTGATCAGACACACTAGCTTCGTCTGTCAAACCCTCTATGGTTATAGTAACTGAGAGACGAGCCTAGTATCTGTGATCTGATAATTCACCAGACCATTTATCTATTCTGAATGAAAAATAACACGTCCAATCGCCGTTTTACAAAAAAGGGAGACGGATTTTCATACTTTGTACTTGTTTTCGAATCCTATATGTATATTATGGTTGTATTACTGGAATATCATAGCGATATTGAAATAAAGTTTAAACTAAAATTCTGTGGGAAACAAGTTCTTCATGATTTTCCGTTCCTTTATTTTTTTAAGTATTTCTCGAAAAGTCCAAAAGATATCAATTAAAGCGATTGGAACAAAACAAAGTGTTTAAGAATTGAATGTATAGTATAGACGACCTTGGCTGGTTCAGGGTCAACACGTTAAAGACATACAACTACATACCTACCTCCCCTAGTACTGAGATGGTTACAGACAATCGGGAACCGTCAGCACTTTCCATAAACGAGAACAATATTTTCTCGTTTACGGAGAGTGCCGACGGTTCCGATTGGATTACAGATGGTTCTAATCTACCAACAACAAGTGCGATCGAGGGTCTTGTTCTTGTAGGTTTTTATAAGTTCATCTTACTAGCAGATCATATTTATTTTCATATTTATTTTTTAAAGACTGAATAAATGCATTAATTTATTGCTGTGTTTTTCTTTCATATTTGATTTCATCACTGCAGACTGTCTTATTGAAACATTACTTAGGTCGGGACTTTTCACAGTACACGTTTTGATCACATGGACCTGAGAATTTGTTACAGCTACATTTGAACCTAAACTAAGAAGATCGGAGTAACTTTACATAGTTTAGGTGTTTAGATCGACTTTCGGTAAAAATGACACCCCCAATGATCGTTGTACAGGAGTCTTCTATATGATCATTGGGGCTGATTATCAGGCCCATGTGGTTTTGATCATCAAGATGTAATGGTCAAACATCAAATTAGTTGACCAGATCAGATTGTAATCGTCGACATAGATCTGTGACAGCAAAATCTGTAGGACCAGTGGATAGCTGTATCGAGTTTCCACCATTTGGGACCTAAACAAGATATATGTAGAGCCAATATTTTGGTTTATCTCCCCTTGCTGTTAACAGAAATATCGGATAGGGTCTGGACCAGCTGTATCAAGCCTCACTAATGATGTTTTCAGGTATAGTAGCTGAGAGTGGTGATTTATAATCTCGGGATGATATATGCATGTTTTTGAGCAGTAAAAAATATAAATAATCTAGCATGTATTAACATTTGTAGGTTTTAAATACTTATTTACCACCTAAATAGTGTAACATTGCATGCTGTACACCAAATTATTGACCATAGCAAAACTGACTCAAAGGAACTGGATGCATAGTACCTAATAAAATTAACAACGAGGTAATTATCAAATATACAGTTTCAAGTTGATGGGAACCTTTATTTCAAGATATCTCAAATTGAATTTAAGAAATCTGAAATTATTTGTACAAATGTTAAATGATGTGAAGATACGTACTGGTGCAACTTAATTTAAGATAGTGACAATTAAATTACAGAATCCCTGATTGAATTGGCGATATCTTACAAGTGGATTCTAGATATCAACTGATTTGAGTCTGCATTTCTTTAATTTAACTGAATACATATAGGTTCAATTTTATTCAGCATTGATCTGTGTTAATTTGAAGATATACCTACACTCGGGTAGAAAGCGTATTGATTTATCTAAGCATTGATCTATGTTAATTTGAAGATATTCCTACACTCGGGTAGAAAGTGTATTGATTTATCTAAGCGGAGGTCTGTGTTAATTTGAAGATATACCTACACTCCGGTAGAAAGTGTATTGATTTATCTAAGAATTGATCTGTGTTAATTTGAAGATATACCTACACTCGGGTAGAAAGTGTATTGATTTATCTAAGCATTGATCTATGTTAATTTGAAGATATTCCTACACTCGGGTAGAAAGTGTATTGATTTATCTAAGCATTGATCTGTGTTAATTTGAAGATAAACCTACACTCGGGTAGAAAGTGTATTGATTTATCTAAGCAGAGATCTGTGTTAATTTGAAGATATACCTACACTCCGGTAGAAAGTGTATTGATTTATCTAAGTATTGATCTGTGTTAATTTGAAGATATACCTACACTGGGGTAGAAAGTGTATTGATTTAGCTAAGTACTGGTCTGTGTTGATTCGAAGATATACCTACACTCCGGTAGAAAGTGTATTGATTTATCTAAGCATTGATCTGTGTTAATTTGAAGATATACCGACACTTGGGTAGAAAGTGTATTGATTTATCTAAGCATTGATCTGTGTTAATTTGAAGATATACCTACACTGGTGTAGAAAGTGTATTGATTTATCTAAGCATTGATCTGTGTTTATTTGAAGATATACCTACACTCCGGTAGAAAGTGTATTGATTTATCTAAGCATTGATCCTTGTTAATTAGGTATTCACAGTCTAAATGAATCACACAGCTGGAGTACATTATGCTGTTTGCCTATAAAGCCGTGTCATTCATATAGACTGTAAATGTCATATTTCCACACAGTTTAATGCTTATATTTACCATTTTTAGGGGTTATTTTAATAGCATAAAAATTAAACCTGCTTAATAAAATTCACCTTTTAGTCTTAATTGGTTTATGTTTTGTGTATGTTTAATTCATTGAATAGAACAGCCTTCTTTCATAGATAATCCTTATATAAGGTTACATATATGACGTCATAATCACAGGGACCTGATAATCTGTTACAGCTATATTTGGACTTAAACTATGTGATCGTTGGTTGGGAGTGGAATTTGTAACGGAAGTCGGTCTAAACCCATAAAATATGTAACATTACTCTGTACATCTTAGTATAGGTCCAAATATAGCTGTAACATTACTCTGTACATCTTATTATAGGTCCAAATATAGCTGTAACATTACTCTGTACATCTTAGTATAGGTCCAAATATAGCTGTAACATTACTCTGTACATCTTAGTATAGGTCCAAATATAGCTGTAACATTACTCTGTACATCTTAGTATAGGTCCAAATATAGCTGTAACATTACTCTGTACATCTTAGTATAGGTCCAAATATAGCTGTAACATTACTCTGTACATCTTAGTATAGGTCCAAATATAGCTGTAACATTACTCTGTACATCTTAGTATAGGTCCAAATATAGCTGTAACATTACTCTGTACATCTTAGTATAGGTCCAAATATAGCTGTAACATTACTCTGTACATCTTAGTATAGGTCCAAATATAGCTGTAACATTACTCTGTACATCTTAGTATAGGTCCAAATATAGCTGTAACATTACTCTGTACATCTTAGTATAGGTCCAAATATAGCTGTAACATTACTCTGTACATCTTAGTATAGGTCCAAATATAGCTGTAACATTACTCTGTACATCTTAGTATAGGTCCAAATATAGCTGTAACATTACTCTGTACATCTTAGTATAGGTCCAAATATAGCTGTAACATTACTCTGTACATCTTAGTATAGGTCCAAATATAGCTGTAACATTACTCTGTACATCTAAGTATAGGTCCAAATATAGCTGTAACATTACTCTGTACATCTTAGTATAGGTCCAAATATAGCTGTAACAAATTCTCAGGTCCCTTTAACAGGTAGGCCATTGCAGGAGGTAATTCAATGTTATATTTCAAGTGAAAGTGAGGAAACGAGCAGTAAGATATATGTGTTCCCTGTCTAAATATTATGTTGATTAAATTATGCATACAAGTGTTTGTTTTATATTTCAAATGAAAATGCACAATTTTTAAGTATTATATTTTTTCCTGGTGATGCTGTATCTACTTAAAATACATGTGTGTACTGTTTTGTTAACTGTTTTGGTCATTCCTTAATTATCTCTTGAATTAAGATGAACATCTATACCTTGCAAGATTTGTGTTTTGCAGTTGTTTCAAGCATTATTTTCACTTACTTATCATTAAAATCGATTTTCAATGTCAATTTCAACCCTCGTTAATATTTTAAGAAATATAAAAAAAATAGCAGAAATAATAATTTTTCACTTTATTTATCAATAATTCTGTTTGACAAATTAATAATTATCTGAAAGTAGAAAATAGTTCACATATCTTTCTTCATTAACCAGTTACCATGGATGTGAATGGACATATGACCCATGTATATGAACAGACAACAGTTTCATTCTCTCAAAATTATAATGCATAGTATTAATCCTAGACAGCCGTTTTTAATCACTTATACCACATCAGTCTCTCAAAAATCTTTTTGAATTTTCTGTTATATTTGTCATGAACCAATTAAATGGGTTTTTTCCTTGAAAAAGTTTGAATACATAATTTCAGGTGTTTGTTTTAACCAGGTACATTAAAGTTATATATAGTGTTTTTAATGAACATTCAAGATTTCATAAGTAAAAATCTCTTAAACCCATGTAGACGTTCCAACTTGATATTATTTAATGGGTGGGGTCAGTCTAACTCTGTGTTAAGCTTACATAAAACTTGGTCCTGGATAAACAGTTATCTGTGATATAAGTATATATTATAGAGATATATTGTATCCTTCTCTATATTATTCATTGTATTTAAATCAAATATAAAAACAATGTAATGCAAAAAAATGGAATGTTTGTTAAAATGTTGTGTACAAAAAGATGATGTTAAAAAGGTTACAATTTACAAATGTATGAAATATTTAAAAAGCACTCTCTCCCAATTCACACCTAATTCGATCTACAAACATACAATTATTAAATGTATCTGTTACATTGCAAATTGGAGAAGACATAATAACTGGAAGTTAAGGTAAGTTGAAGCATGTTAAAATCGCATGTACAATTTGAGTCTGCCTCCATTATTATAAACAAATTGTAGGTTAAAATTCTGAATTCCTGAAACAAATTCACAAACTTGATAGATATATAATAGTAACCTGGTAATATCACGACAATCAGACTGACGAATACATACCTCTACCTAGGTATACTGTATTATATTTTATTAGCTCTAATGATTTGATAAACAATGGATGATTTTGAATGGGAAAACAAGATAAAAATATAGAAAAAAGTCCCGCGAAGTCCCAATATATTTCTCAATATTGCATCGACGTTTTGTATTTTTGACGGCATGCTATTATGACGTCATAGATTCGATGTGTCATTGTGACATCATACAGTTTAAGCAAGATGGACTTGCTTGATACAATCGTTGACTTTCGTCCTTGAAGAAGGCCATAGGCCAAAATTTTGAGACTTATATTGACATTTGTTCTATATTTCTAATGATTTATATTCAAAAACCAAATAGACAAATCTTTCAAATATTTTTTTTTACAACGAAACAATTTCTGGGTTCAAATTCATGCATTAGTTTAAAAGAATCACAAAAGAAGATACTTTTTCACCAATGGTGACATTTAGAAATATCGTTCTTATATACAACTCCTAATGTGGTCACATAGAAAAATATATATATATGTGTGAAATATGGTTTATTTTTACAATATATACAAAAATTTAAAATACTGTGAAATCAGATATTTTCGTGGAGCCCAAATTTTGTGGTTTCCAGATAAAACACCATTCCGTGGGTACATGAATCGGGGGCGTTTCTTGGATATTTGAAGGAGGTGGCGTAGAATGAAATCTGTCGGCGAGCGGAGCGAGGGTAAAAAAAAATTGGACCCTTTTTTTGCTAAAAAACATAAAATAATTGTGAAATGCACTAATGTAACGGTTCCTGATTTGGAGCATGTATTTTTTATAGTTAATGTGTCAGGGTTTGACATTTTTTATACCCCATTTCAGACAATTTAGCTGAAAATGCAACCCCATTTGTCGGAGCATACCCAGTATCATATTTATAGTGAATTTTACGGATCACCCATCGGATGGAGGAATCAGTATAAAATGAAATCAGTGTATGTGTTTAATTAATGAATATGATAAATTGCCATATTCAATACAATATTAGTAGATTACGGTTTTGTTTTGTGCTTTTTTGAAAAAAAAGGGGGGGGGGGTGTACACCCATTACGCCCTCACCTGGACCCGCCCCCATATGTATATTACAGGTACCCACTCTAACAGAGAATTGTTTTATGTCAAACTTGTAATTACTTCGCGGACCTATGAATTTGTGCAGAACCCTGGAAACCAACAAAATAAATAATCCAACGAAAATTAGTAATTTTACAGTATTTAACACTTGATTACACAATATAACAGACATTGACTGAATATGACTTCAATATGTACATATGGCTACAAGATAAAGATTAATTGATTTTCTTTCTTAAGTTATGAATAAGGTATTACTCCGAAACAGAATCTAAGCAGTTTGCTACTTCATAAACTATGTAAATGTTATTTTCTGTTACAAAATAATACCCAACAGAAACACTTCTAGCATAATGGAGTTATTTTGAAAGGAAGAACAAATGATCACATTATATATTGTTTTTTGCATATTTAACCCTTTTACCACTGTAGATCATAATGGACTCGTCCATATCAATACATGGTAGAGTCTACTTATAATACTTAGGGGTGAAAGGGTTAACACAAATTCCTTGACAGACAAAGAACTTTCTCACCATCAATAATTTTATAAGGTATGTATTGATTTTTGTTTTCAGAAATAAAATTGTATTTGTTAGGTAAATTACTAAATCATGTAACTAGAAAAATGTACAATACAGCAGACAGAAGCTGTTTGTTCTCAGACCTGACATCATTGTGTTGTCAATTGTGACCATTATTGGAGTGTTATGCAGTGAATTTCTCCACCATGTCATACTTTGTCATACTAACTGGTGTAATATGACTTTCTATTGTTATGTCACAGATGGTTCAATGATGATGTCGTGATAAGTCCTATAGATAATACATCATAGACTACAAGAGGGTATAGTCGAAAACTTGATAGCTATTAGAGAAAATGTTAAACTTTTCAAAATATTTGAAAACAAAATCTGGCTGTGTGAACTGAATCTTCAATAAATTAAATAGATTTTTTTTATCATTTCTAGTTCTTATTTTAGCATGACAAAATCTAAACAGAATGAAAAGTTCGACATTTGTTTCAATAATTCATATAAAAAACAAACTCTTTTGATCTTCCTTGAATATCTGAATAAACATTTTAAATTATTTTCATCAATCATGAAAACCACAAAAAGTTATAAAAGTCCAACTGAAGTTTTTATCACAATAAAACCTACTTCGATGCTTTATAAAGAAATTTGGTAAAAAGACAATTCTTTTTTTAATAAACATACATAGACTATTCAGTTACTTTTACTGTAAATGGCTTTGATTACAAATGAAGACGTATAGAAAGAAGTAGCTTAAGAGAGAGATGTCAATTTATTTTCATGTATTTTTTTTAAAATTAGGGACCGTCTAATCTCCACCTGAGTAAAATATGTGTAATTATTGTCTTGTAGATGTGTCTAGTCCGTGAAAACAAAAACAATCATAATACACTTGTACAACTCAAGTTTGTGACCAGGGCCTGTATTCATGAAACTATTCTCATGCTCAAGCATGGATTTTGGGCTCAAACCTAATTTCTTGTCCTGGTTACAACTTAATAAATAAATCATATTTTGTCAGTGATTTAGAAACATTTTCAAGAGATTTACAGCCAAATACTGTTTTCCAATGTTTACATTTGACATGATCTGAGCACAGAATCTGAGTTTGAGCATGAGGACTGTGTGATGAATACCGGCCCTGATGTGGGGTTCAGACATGTCCAGTCTGAGGACGGTGTGATGAATACCGGTCCTGATGTAGGGTTCAGACTTGTCCAGTCTCTGTATGATGAGTTTCCGACATGACAAAGTTTACATTCTCTGTAATAGACACACCAGGAGGAGAGTGAAAATGGTTGTAAGGCTGACACTGAGAACCCCGGCCCCGCTACGGATCTGTCCGGTACTGTCAGGGGTCGGACTGTTGGATTCTGAAAAACAGCAAACAGACAATTATTAACTTTGTTTTAAGTTCAAATTACAGGAACCGTAAAAAAATTCAAGGATTATGATAATGATTCAAGGCTAGTATTAACATCAATACTGTTGGACTACTATATACTGGAACATTTTTACTCCCAGTCAATTTTCCTCCAGTGTTAATTTCGCCCTTCGCATTTAATAGCTATGCTTACTTATATTTACTGCGATAGTAAAATTGCCCTCATTTTGGAGGGCGACAAAAAGCGAAAGTTTAACTGCAGAAAAAAAAAACCTGTATAGAATATCAACAACAAAGTTGATTAGTTGTTTGTATTAACGACAAAGAGTTGACAAATTTATACTATCGACACATATCACTGACAACAACACATATCACCGACAACACCACATACCACTGACAGCAACACATACCACTGACAACAACACATATCACTGACAACAACACATATCACTGACAACAACACACATCACTGACAACAACACATATCTCTGACAACAACACATATCACCAACAACAACACATATCACTGACAACAACACATATCACTGACAACAACACATATCACGAAGTGTGAACCCCAGATTATAAACCACTAGTTTTCTGGTTGAGATACAGCCCCAGCGTGGAGTAGTAATCCCATTGGTAGGAGTGTATGATTTCCACACTTACGTTTGAGTTCTATCTGAGCTGGAGTCGAGTCGCCCTTGATGTTGGAAGCCATACAGCTATAGAGACCATAATCGCTGAGCTGCACGTTGTAGATGGTCAGTTTAGTGAATACCCGGTCAGATGCGCCCTGGATATATATCACCTTGTAGCTAGAAAATCAAATTAGACTTGGTTACAACACTTTAATTTATCAATAAAGTTATAGTTAGAGGTTAGATTATGTCTTATATCAGACCCCGGAGTGAACCAGCGAGTCTGGGATCTGACGTAACACAATCATTTTATGTCCTTCTTATCATCAATAGTTATATATGTTCTATCAATAAAAGAAAAACAAGTTCTATCATGTTTACAATTTAACAACATTTTCCATTGGTTAATAACCATGTATATTTGGACAATAGACAATGCATGCATGCATGTGCATGTGTTATTTTCCATCAGACCCATGCTCTTCCAAAAAGCTCCCCCTCAAATGTTAATGCGTGACTGGTTAGTATTGTATGTATATGAATATTTGGTAGCGGATAAACAAAAACAATTCTAGGTAACCTCTAGATCTAGTTAAAACCGGTCACGCTCAAAGTCAAAATGATCCGCCGAATTTATAAACAAGTCAAATGTTGATTCACGAGTGATGTCACTAGATTGGTGTATTTGATTGATTGAAATAAACATCCAGTATAAAGCATGAGGTCAGTGTTGAATGTTTACCATCTCACGACAAAATGGCGACCAAAATAGACAAGGTCATAGTCATTCAGATCCCTTGCATACAGAGTTTTAGAAAATATTTTGGGTTGGTGTTATAGTCAGTTTGCCCTTCACTTTTACAGCAATTAATTTGTATGCCCCCACTATAAAATTGGGGGGGTGGGAGCATATAGTGTTGCCCATGTCCGCATGGTCCTGTCCCGTCCCATCCCGATTCAACGTTAACACTTACCAACTTCTTTCTTGCTAAAAAAAAACCCGTCAGAGCTATGAAAATAAATTGTGAGGGCGTCATTGTTGCTTGTAAAATGACTCACTAATTGATAGATATATAACATAGGAGCCATGGTAGTGTTGTGGTAGGACGCTCGGCTCGTGACCGAAGGGTTGCTGGCTTGAGTCGCAACACAGCACTGTGTTGTGGTAGGACGCTGGGCTCGTTACCGAAGGGTTGCTGGCTTGAGTCGCATCACAGCGCTGTGTTGTGGTAGGGCGCTGGGCTCGTGACCAAAGGGTTGCTGGCTTGAGTCGCATCACAGCACTGTGTTGTGGTAGGACGCTGGGCTCGTGACCAAAGGGTTGCTGGCTTGAGTCACATCACAGCACTGTGTTGTGGTAGGACGCTTGGCTCGTGACCGAAGGGTTGCTGGCTTGAGTCGCATCCCAGCACTGTGTTGTGGTAGGACGCTGGGCTCGTGACCGAAGGGTTGCTGGCTTGAGTCGCATCACAGCACTGTGTTGTATCTTTGAACAAGATACTTTATTCTTGCATACTAGACCGATATATCCACATTTCTGGCGGTGCTGGAAATTCTATCAGACCCACTGGTCTAGATCGCTTACACGAGCAGACTGGTGGGGGAATTATAGTGACCTTTTGGGGTCACGCTATTGTTCGTATTGACGTCACTAACAATTGCCATCCGTGCTTCATATGCAAATGAGAAATGTGCAGACAGTTTACAACTTTACTATAAGAGCAGCTGTTTTTACGGGTTTTAGGTAATAAGCAAGAAATAGAATCCATCCCTGATATGAGGTAAGGATAAGGTAATACAAACCCTCGGGATAAGTTATTGAGCAAAAGACCCTCGGCAAAGCCTCTTGTCTCCTGCTCAATATTTTATCCCTTGGGTTTTGAATAACCTTATCAATACCTCACATCAGGGATGGATTCTATTACTTTGCTTGTTCCAGTCTACTCAGCTGTAAACGAGTATGTGGTTGGGCAGTACTAGAATTGTAGAATGCTAGCTGTGACCGCCAAAATGGCAGCACTGGCTGTATGCTCCCCAGGGAGTTGAGAAAGATATTGGCTGGTTGCAAAAGCCCTATAACCAAGAATAATACCGCTTTGAGAAAACCTACAAACTAGGTTGTGATAAAGTGGTATATAAGAACCTCAAATTATTATTAATTATCATTATAAACTTACTTCCCTCCAGTAACAGGTTTGCCGAGCTTTGTCCATATGAACTGGCTCTCCTCGGGTATAGGGTATCCAGCAGCCGTACACTCGAGATCTGTCCGGTACCCTACAGCCTGGGACACCACCCTATGTCGCTGTTCCACTCGCGGCTTAACTGTAAAAATATGTCCATCATGTTATTTTTTTCAATAGTTATGAAAAACAAATCGGATAAAGCTAAAATTTATGAGTTTTTATCTTTAGTGACTAAAATATTCAAAGAATAATTTTTGTAAATACATATTCACACAATCTATTTCTATGGGTTTTTGTTTTTTTTGTTTCAGGGCCAATATTTATTTTGACAGGGGTTTTTTTCATTCTTTTCAAACTTGCCAGTGTAACAACTCAAATTACAGGATTATAACATATTCTCACAAATTCTATCTAACAGATTACCCCCTTGGGGTGAGATTAATATAATCTTTACCTTGGGGATAAGACAGAATCTGACATGTCTATGTAATGCGCTTTTTATACCCAGCAAGACCCATACTCATTACCATGCAAGGACCAAACTAAAATGTCGGCACTTCCTTAGAAACGATGGGCAGAACAGATGGGGAAGATCTCAAAAGCAGAAAAAAAACCACTTTTTTTTAAAAATCTCAATTAAAAGCTTTTTAACTTGCACCGTCAGCTTTATGTGAAGGTTACTGCATAAAGAAGATAAACCAAAGTGTTAATATTTAGTGTTTCACATGAAGTAAAACAGGAATCCTTAACACTTGTCATGTTACTATTTCCCTGGTATGGTACTATTTCCCTGGTATGGTACTATTTCCCTGGTATGGTACTATTACTCTGGTATGGTACTTTTTCCCTGGTATGGTCTATATAAACCAATTTCACTTCCTTCAAATCCATCAGAAGATGTTACCAAATTAAAGAGTTTGTTAGTTATAAACAAGATGCACTGGGCTTAAATTCGCTTGAAAAGGGCAATATTTTTTGTTAATTGCTTCTAAGCTTTCATTTAACTTCTATTTTCAAATTTACAAACCCCTAGGGTGTTTGCCAATTGAGAGATATTTTTTCATAAAAACCTTTCAAACATCCCAAAAATAGCCACAATAGACACTTTCGTCAATAAGTTAGTACATTTTGGGGACATGATTGGATGTGTTCACTAGAAAAAGGATATGGGGGTTCTGTCAATGAATCAGACACTTTGTTGTCAAATGTGGTGTCTATAATTTGAAAGCCTTAATCCCTATTATATTTTGGACAGTTTTAGACAAGCCTTATGAAGCTGAAATACTGTTTCTACATAAAGGAAGTGTATACTGATTTTGGGTGGAAACATAACAACATGTACATTTTACTCTAGTGACGGGCAATCCATGTAAAATTATAATTGACAATCAGTTTGTTATTGGAAGTAGTAAAGCTATCGATTGCATAATCAGTTTATAGTTATATGGGGCTGAACCCCCCAGTCACGTGAGCACACTACTACTACATCAGTAGACATTGCTGCTTACTGTACATTAGGTTTCATTCTTTTATAATGAATGGATCTTAACCAACTTTCATGCAGATTTATCAATCATATACATGTATTAAAAATCACCAGTACATTGAACACATTTCACACTTGGATTTCAATGATGAACTGATTATATTGATCAAATTATAATCGATAATCGGGACTGGAAAGGGTAAACTGATCAATTTTGATTACAATCGATCATCAGTAAATTGATAAAGTACTTACACACTATTCTGACGGCAACAATACGCGTATCCTTCCCAGCTTCATTCTCCGCTGTGCACTTGTACGCTCCACGATGGCTTGGGGTGGCGACACCCATGTTCATGGTGAAATCCTACAAATAAAAGTTCAAGCATTGCTAGGTTACAAAAAATACAGGACAAAAATAGAAATCTGACAATAAAATTCAACGATTTACGGTCATTTATCCTTTATTGTATAAAACAGCAAATACAGATATGTGACCTATAGTATAGTAGTGACCTGTATGTGACCATGTGATATCAATCATAAATGCCTGTTTTCCTTTGCCATTTGACCATTAATGTACTCCCATATTGACTTATAGTGTATTACTCATGCTAAACATGTCCAGAACCCAATGTTATTAAGACCTCATAAATGTGAAAAATAAATGACATTCCTCATAATTGCATTTTTAAATGCTTTAAAGTTATAGTGCGAGTCAAATATAAATGATACAGCTATTTATCTTCCTCTTTATGCTGATGCAGTAGAGAGTACACCATGTTACTGTTAGACTCAGCAACCAACACTGTGTAAACACCAACTTTTACCTGTACACAAACATGATGTCAAGTTGGTGCCAGCAAGTGTTCCTGTCACTTATATTTATGTCCCGACCTACATTCTTTGTCCCTATGATAGACATTGTCTCTGTAACCTACATATTGTCCCTGTAACCTACATATTGTCCCTGTAACCTACATATTGTCCCTGTAAACCTTATTTTGCCTGACTTTGAGTACTTTCACTGTGACCTATATAGTTTCACTGAGTGTGACCTATATTTTGCCCTGTGACATTTTTTAATTTCACTGTGACCTAATTATTGTCCCTGTGACCTACACTTTGTCCCTGTGACATGAATGTAGTATCCCATACAATAGTGTATTTACCTGTGACCTATGTATTGTCCATGTGTATGTACCATTCCTGTGACCTATATATTGCCCATGTGACCTATATTGTACTGACCGCGTGTTCAGCGCCCCCACTAGGGAGGAGTCCTCCAGCCAGCCGTTCCCACTTGACCTTGGGAAATGGTTCCCCTGTGGCATTACACCGGAGTGAGAAAAGCGTGCCCTCCTCAATGGTCATATCACTGTCCGTCAACAGGTCCAGGATCTTAGGTGGATCTGTAAAAACAAATACTTGTTTTAGACAATTCTACTTTGTAAATCTAATATGGAATGGAAGCAAGGTATCAAATAATTAGAAACATTGACAACACAGAGTAAATGTTTAACAAACATACTTTGAAGAATGGAATTTTAATTGTTAAATATCAACGACCAAATTTGAAATCTTCAAAAAAGCTCTGGAAAAAATGATAATTTCAAAATGGTAGCCAGTCGGAAGGCATTGTCATGAATTCTGAGCTAATATTCTGGTAATTGGAATGAGAGAAAATATTCTTTCATATTGTGGAGAGTAAGAAAAGGAAATCTCATCCTTGTGATATTCAAATTGGACAAAAACCTCAGTAGGCCACAGGTTTTACCAAACTTGAAAGCCCCTCAATAGAAATTTCTTTATCCTACACCCAGGAGAGTTCTACAGGTCTAAGATTAATTGCCCTTTTCCTATTTTCACTTGCTGACTCACCTACAACCCTGAGCGTACGCTCATCTTTAGCGTATTTCTTGTCACCGATCAGAACCTGACAAAAGTAACGAGCATTAGCCCAGACTTCCACATTCTGGATCTTCAAACGCCACGAAATGGCAGACGGTTGGTCAACTTGATAATGGAACGGATCCTTGGAGTCTTGTCCAGTAGATATCGTGAAGGAGAATTTAGGGGACCAATATCTCCACTCCACCTGCACATAAAAACATAGCATTTACTCTTACAGGTCAACCTTGATTTTATAAAACTGAACTTTTTGGCAAAAAAGAACTGATTTGCTATTTCCAACTACAGTGAAACCCCACTTACTCGAACTCGCATTACTCGGATAGTTCTCTTGGTCCCGACGGTGTTCTTATATATTCGATGTAAATTAACCTCGGATTACTCAAACTATTCAGCTATTTTATATCTTATTAAATGTTGTCATCTTTATTAAACTGAATTTTTCATTTCTATCATCTACTATCCACGATAGCTGCAGTGCTTGTACCATCTTTCGTCCCACCTGATAAAAAAAATGATGATGTTGGACGAACCTCGGATTCGTTGAATACCATGTATTCATTGAACTACTGATCTGGACCCCCCGAGTTTGACTTAACGGGGCTTTACGGTACATGTAAATTATACCAGGTTGGGTGCTGATATGAGGTGAGCTCTTTACCTCCGTTTCTGTCGGTTTACTGGGGGAGTTTGAAGTGGTAATTAAAGGTGATGGGTAAGACACAGTACCTCCTAAAATTGATCAAATCTTACCTTAGTGTCGGCATCTTTGTTGTGTACAACACATGTTAGGTAAGCATCCTCGCTTTTATTGATGACGATTTGGTTTACACCACCAGGGGTCCTTTTCGTCGGAGGTCTTGTGTCCTGAATCAAGACTTCTGGGTCAACACATAGAGCTGAAAAATACAAAGACAGCCGTTATTGATGTGGGATCTATCCCATTACACACAACACAGGTCTTTGATAGAGGGCCAGAGAAAACTCAGGTTTGCAAATTGTAAGCTGTTAACTTTTGTGACAAAGGACACTGTCGCAGATTTCTGTCCGTCTGGTGCCTCACATTCATTAAAAAGGGGTATAATATAGTACATTTTCACTAAAGTTAAATTGGAGCACAGATGTTCATTCCAAATGTCTGAAATACACATATGATATACACAATAACTTATGTGTTGTGACCGATAGTAGTATATGTATAGCATATGTGTATATCAGACATTTGTAACGAGCCCCTTTGATTGGAGAACCTGTGTATATGGTAACAAAACACGTATCATTTTATGTATTCTGTAATTATAAATAATAGTTATATACGAACACTCAACTATCATAGCTACTTCCGGAAGTACATGACTCATGTCACATCTAAACACACCTGTGCCTTCATAATCCACCTGTAGTTTCAACAATAATCGTCGGCTAATATATCTTTGTAATAAGTATTAACTTACCGACCGGGAGTACCACAAACAGAAGCAGTAACTTCATTGTAAACAGTGTATTTAGTTCAGCACATAGCGCAAATTCCTTCCTTTGCTTTCAAACATGGACGCACACCTGTGTACATGCGCAGATGATGTTTACCTGTGAAGCGGGCAGGTGAGTCAGAGATGCGATCGCGAGTTATCTCCCTCAGAACGGTTAGCTACAGCAGTATCGTCTAGACACCAGTTTCGCGCGTTATGTATTTCCGCGCAGACATTTTATCAAGCTATATCTCGTAACTACGTGACCTGCTGGACACAACACAAGGATATTTTAGACGTTTGGCCATCGTCTGTAAACTGACACAAAAAATTACCGGAATTCGTCCGGAAAACATAAGATTTAATCACTGATTAAAAAACACGCTTAAATATGCAGTTTTGCTTAATGCTCTTTTTATCTTGCTCAAAATAAACCCATACCTGAAAAAACGGTGATATATTTCATTCATGAACCAGTCTTTTTTGTAGTCTGACAAACGTACGAAAATGTCGTATGCAAATGCAATCTGATTAAAATCATATGTTACAAGGCTTCGTTAACTTCGTACTAGGAGCCATGTAACAGATGATTTTAATCAGATTGATGCAAATGAGGCCACATCTCCTCGTATATATATGTGTAACGTGAAACGTTAGCTCTGAGGAGCTATTCTTACGACAGAACAAAAGAACAGAACACACAAAGATATACCATATTTAAATATAATCAGATATTCATTACATAACACTATGAGAACCACGGATTTGGATGTTCTGGTTGCGGAGATACTAGACTTCAATGTGAAATATTAAGTGTCTGTTTTGGATATAAACGATGTCGAACGTTACAATCAATTTCTATTTCTAGAATTTTTCTCGATATACCATATAGCTGGGAGTACTCTTTGTAATATTAAGTTTTCAGATGTATTGTCTCCAGGATATTGATATTGATATTGTCATAGCCCCAAACTCAGCAGCTTATAATGATATTGGGTTAACTAAAATATCAAATAATTTCAATTGTAGATCAATAGGCAAACTTATATTTCTTATCTTTCTATATAAAGTAAACAATGCTTTTTTTTGCTTGATCAGCAATTTTCTTTTTAGCTTTACCATAGTTCCCGGTATAATTTAGAATTATCCCGAGGATGGATATGAATCTACAATTTTAATTTCACTATCATATAAGGTAAATGTAAAATTTAGACGTATTTTCCTTTTTTGAAAGATATTTTGTTTTACTTTTTTGAACATTAATTTTAAGCCTCCACATTTTACAATCATCACCAACTACATTTACGGCTTTTTGTAGACCTTCCGCAGATTCTGATAATATAACTGTGTCTTTTGCATATAAAAGAATAAATAATTTTATGTATGTACCAATGAAATTCTGGCATTGGACACCAATATCTTTAAGCCAATCCACATCATGAAGAAGGAACTACGGGAAGTGGAATGGACAGAAACTTTGTCTAACCTGGATACTGAAGAAGCGTACAACAAATTTCTCCGTATCCATTATACTGTGGACAAATATATCCCAAAAAAGAAGAACACAACTGCAAACAGCAAAAACGGCCTAGCGTTGAACAGGGATCTTAGGAATAAAATCAATAAAAAACATCGGGCTTGGACGAGGTTTATGGAAACAAAAACACAAGATAGGTATAAGGAGTATGCCAAACTCAGAAACCAAGTCAAATGGGAACTCCGGAAGGCAAAAAAGGAGATGGAAAAGGAAATTGCACTTAATGCGAAGCACCAGCCTAAACGATTCTGGAAATATATAAATGCTAAGAGAAAAGTGAGATCGGGAATTTCGGACCTAAAAGGATTGAACGGAAACCCTACAGAAATAGCAACTAGTGATTCGGAGAAGGCAGAAGTATTGGTTAATTTCTTCACGAGTGTATTTACTAAAGAACCACCGGGGGAGCTACCTCCGTTCCTAGCCAGACCTGTCAGTCACCTATTTCAAGACACGTCAATCAATGGAGATGTAATCAAGAAACTACTTTTCAATTTAGATGCTAACAAATCACCAGGACCCGATGGGATGCATCCGAAAGCTTTAAAGGAACTTCGCGATGTTTTGTGTATACCAATTTCGATAATCTTCAATAAATCTCTCTCTGAAGGAAAACTACCCCAATCATGGAAGGACGCGAACATCACCGCTATTTACAAAAAAGGTTCAAAAACCGATCCTGGAAACTATCGACCTGTTAGTCTTACTAGTATCATCGTTAAAACAATGGAAAAACTTATACGTGATAGTATAGTTCAACACATGCAACTGAACAATTTATTCAGCAAAAATCAGTTTGGATTTCTCCCCGGAAGATCAACAACACTTCAAATGTTAATCGTCCTAGATGAGTGGACTCATATGTTGGATACGGGAGGAGAAATTGATGTCATTTATATGGATTTTATGAAAGCTTTCGACAAGGTACCCCATCGCCGTCTAATACACAAGCTATATAATTATGGAATCAGCGCGAAAACTGTTAAATGGATAGAAAACTTTTTAAGTGATAGACATCAAAAAGTAGTGGTTAACGGATCTACATCCAAATTACAGAACGTCTTAAGCGGAATTCCTCAGGGGAGTGTTTTAGGACCAATACTATTTGTTATGTATATCAATGACATGCCCGAGAACACTGCGTCATCGTGCCCTCTATTCGCGGATGATACTAAATTATACCGCAAGATACGAACTGATGAGGATAAGGAAATTCTACAAGCAGATTTGAATAATCTTCAAAAATGGTCTGATGATTGGCTTCTGAAATTTCATCCGAATAAATGCAAGGTTCTTCAGGTTAAAGGATCACCAAACAATAATAGAACATACCGTCTCGCGAGCAAAACTGGAGAAGTCGTACTTGACAAAATCAACAGTGAAAAAGATTTAGGAGTAACGGTGGATGCAAACCTGGACTTTCGGACCCACATTCAAAACTCAATAAATAAAGCTAATTCAGTACTCGGGATTATTAGAAGATCATTTACTTTTTTGGACGAATCGATTTTTAGACAGTTATTTAAGGCTCTGGTAAGACCGCATCTAGAATATGCAGCCAGTGCGTGGAGTCCGTATAAACTTAAAGATATCCAGATGATAGAGAATGTACAGCGGAGAGCCACTAAGCTTCTACCTGGATTTAAAGAAATCTCCTATGAAGAACGTTTAGAAAAATTAAAACTACCGACACTAAAACACCGAAGGACTAGAGGTGATTTGATTAACGTTTTCAAGATTGTGAAGGGGAAGTTTGATGAGAAAGTCACGTCAGACATATTTGTCTACGATATTAACGAAAGAACACGAGGACATAAATTTAAGCTGTATAAACAACGATGTAGTACAGAGCTAAGGAAAAACTCGTTCACGTTTAGGGTAGTTGATATCTGGAACGGTCTACCGGAATCGGTTGTAAATGCAGAAACCACGAAGGACTTTGAGATCCTGTTGGATAACCATCTGAAGGACACTATTTACAATAATTACTGATAATGACTTTTAAAATAACTCTTTTTGGAAAGTTTATATATGTTAACCAGTGACAATATAATATTTTTATACTATGTTTTGTGATATGGACTTAGAGGCTTTCAGCCTGCGTCCATTATTTTTTTAATTAAATTCAATTAAATACATCATTGTGTATAAAGTAATCTTCCAAATCATTCAAGTAAAGAGAAAATAAGAAAGGGGATAAATGTTCCCCTTGCCTAACTCCGATATTACACATGACAAAATCCGTTTGTTCCTTTCCAAACTTTACATACGATTTAGTATTAATGTAGAAATTAAAAATGATATTCAAAACTTTACCTTTAATATTGCTTTTTAGCAACTTTTTCCATATCCCAATTCTCCACATAGTATCAAAGGCCTTCTTAAAATCAATAAGAACACAGTGCAGTTTCTTTTTAGATGAAAAATAAAGTTCAATTAGCGATTGTAAATAGAAAGGAAAAAAAATGTAATGAGTATCCTTTTCGAAACCCCGCTTGGTTCCCATGTATAAGATTTATTTCATTAGATAGTTGATTCAACCTTTCATCTAGTGTCTCTGTGACGAGTTTACCGAGACAAGAGATGAGAGTAATTCCCCTATAATTATCGCGATAATTTATATCCCCTTTATTTTTTTATGTTTGTTTTATTTACCCAATAGTCCACGATTCTGGGATTATACCTGTGTCGAGAATTACATTAAAAAGTTTTACATATATAGGTAAAAAACACAGTTAATTGTAGTTTTCAAATATTCATTGAGAATCCCGTCCGCTCCCCACGCTTTATGATTATGGAGTTTATTTACCGCCCTTTCTCTTTCTATTTCAGTAGTTGTACCGTTTAAGATGATGCCATCAACACTTATCACCAATTACCAATATACTTATCCTTTCCGATCCTCCCATTAGCGATATACGAATTCATTCTTTTACATAGATACATTAATTTATACCCAGTGTTATTTGGTTTGGACTCGTCCTTACTTAATCGATCTACCGGTACCTGATACATGTATAGTTTTTCATAATCATACAAGTAAGCATACAGTTCATCACTTTCACTAACGTCGAAGTTTTCGATCAAACTATGTTCTGGGACAATACAGTCAGGGAGTGTTTTAGCCTTAGCGTTAAAATCCCCCAGTAGTACAATGAGAGTATGACTTTCCGACATAAGAATCAGTTCCTTCTCAATTATACTAAACGCATCATTATTTACGTATTTTGAATTTTCAGGAGGTAAGTATACACACATCCAAAAGTAACATCTTGGTCAACATTTAGAACTTTTTTTTACAGTGTACATCCATTGGACATATTCAACCTCAGTAGAGTAAATAGCCTCTCAATTTTTCTTTGTAAATAATGACAATACCACCAGATCGTTTTACATAATGACCTATGTTTTGCATGAAATTCATATTTATTTGGTAAGTCATTAGATTTGATCAACTCTACAAATTCAGTTATAATATATTAAGACTTCAGACCACACACATTCAACATAGTCATTTTGAGTCCTTCTTGCCGTCCTCTTGAAGGTGGAGGTGGATGAAGCGGTGGCTGATTTCCCTGGACG